CTCTCGGGGTTGACGACGATTCTCGCCCCCTGCGTCCTGATTTCTCATGGACTCTAACGCTTGATACTGAGCTTGAGTCGTACGGCTGAGTCTTATCATTTCCTGATGAATGGAAAGCTGATGGGCTCGCCGGCGTCTTTCCCTGGCGCTCATAGAGTTTGAGTCCGGAGGGACTCGATTGGAGTTGGGAGGAGGTACCCAACTTGGTCCCTTTTCCTTTCTGTTGCGCGGACGGTTGCGATTGTTCTTCGGAGCTTGACCGTTTTCCCTCTTTTTTGTCGATTGGGGCGCCGCTGACGGTTCCGCTTGGGGAGCTTGCTGATGAGGAGGGTAATACCCCTGCTGGTACGTTGAGTAATTCAGATCGTAGCTCTGGTACGGCCAATGTTGAGTTGGCTGGGACATCGGCGGACAGGGATAATGATAGCTGTTCGAAGGGTAATACATCTGCGGTTGAGGCTGATTCTCTGTCAGGTGCTCTTGAGGTTGGATCTGAGACGGTTCTACCTCCGGCGGTCGCATTTGGACTTCGGGAGGAGGAGTCGGCGTCACTTCGGCGCCTCTCTCCTTCAGGAAGTTCCTGCCCTTCTGAGTGTGCAAGTACTCGTCGAATTCCGACTTCGGATTCCAATTGAAGATCTTCTGGAACTCCTCCTGAGTGATCGAGCGCAGAAGATCTGTTTGGAGTTCCGACGCCGATCTGAGAGCTACGACTTTCAGGTCCTCGTCCTTCGTCTTCACCGCTCGACGGAAGTACTCTTGATTTAGCTTCACCCCCTGAAGAAGCGGATGAAAGGCTGGGCGAAATTTTAGCAGAATGTCTTCCTCGAGGGGCGCCGGTAAGGTCTTTGGCTTCGACCAAAGCTGGGCGGTGGCTCCTAGTTCGAGACATGCTCAGTTAGCGACTTATACTGTTGCTGAAGAATGTTTTGGACAAAAACTGCTGTAGGCTGACCTGTAATAATGTCAAGATCGCTACCGTCACTCGGTAAGACTGAGTCCGAAGTGGTAGAACTACCAGGGTGATCGGACGATCGCGAGGATACGGATTGGACTGTTCGACCTTGAGGGACAAAGTAATTATCAAGACTCTTCTGAGTTGATCGGTTAATCGGTTCGTTGAAGGTCTTAGGACCGTTTAGCAAGGTCTTCGCTGCTTCTGATAACGGATCGACTCGACCAGAGGCTACGTCAGCACGGGGTGCTTGGTCACTTGAGTTACTCGAGGTTACGGTGTTAGCGGTTTTATCGACGGCTAGAGCTTCTCGATCAACCTTTTTAAAGGTGAGGTGACTAATAGAGTCCTTATCGATGAGTTTGGAAACCTTCTCCTTGCTTTTGAAGGGATCGACGTTAGGCAACGGATCGTTAGACCTAGTGGTTTTCTTTTTATTAGCTTCTTCGTGCGGAGAGCTGTCAGGTTGATTTTTCTTCACTTTAATCTTATCGGCTTTAGCTGAGCTCGCGACCTCGTTGGTTTTAACTTCCGCCTTGGCAGGTCTAATAACGGAAGAAGCTGAGGGACGAGTTTCGTTTCGTTTCGTTTCGCTGAAGAATCAGAGTCGCGGTCCCACTCGGAAGGGACTATTTCAGGGCTGTTGAACTGTTTCTTCGGTTTTCTAGAAACTTTTTTGACAATCTTACTAGCCGGTTCAGATCTGGTTCCCTCTGAGCCTGAAACGGCTTGCGAGTATGTTTTCACCGGGGTAGTTTGAGATGCTACAGACACTGTTATTTGTCAAACGAGATACAGAATACAGCGTTAGTGGGGAAGAACTAACGATAAGTGTATAAGATCTTAAAGATCTGCTTACTTGTATTAATCGCTCGAGATGAACAGGCTTACTAGACCGTGGTTATCGGAGGAAGCAGAATCAACGAAAGATCAACAAATCGTAGTTGATAGGTTATCGAGAAGACAGACTCACTCTGATCGTCGCTTATGACTATGGGAAGTCTGTCGGCTAGTAATCTGACTGAGATCTGAGAGGTTAGCGCTCCTTCGATTGCGGATCTGTTATGAGCGCAACGAAAGGGACAGATTGGGTTGAGTTATTTCTGACTCAGGATTAGAGTTAGGGAAGGGTCGAACTCTACACACCTATTTTATTCAGAGGGATGGGTCTGAAAGGGGTGGAGTGATGCTCGGAGTACTGATCTGGAAAAAAGGAAAATTCAATAGATCAGTAATTATTCTAGAAGAGAGAATAATTTTATTATTTTTTCTGTAAGGGAAGAAAAAATATAAATCTTAATAATGGTGGTACACCGGAAAAATATTTCCCGGCCAGACCCCCAGTTGTCAGCTCTGGTCTCTTATGTGACCTAGAGTTGATGGGTTTTGGTCACACTTTAGCCAAAAAGGGCCAGTGGAATTGAGCCTCTCCTCAACACTAATATAGTGGAGGGGCTAGCTCCTTATAATAATAAGGGACAACTGTGGGATGAGCTTCACAGTGCCTGAGCTGAAGGATTATAAGGAAATTGAGGTTTGTACTAGTCTTATAAGTTAAATATGTAACTTATAAGGCTAGTAAGAAGATAAAGAGAAAGGTAATAACTAAGATACAATAATTTACTGTAAAAACCCCACTCACTAATTTATATGTATTATAGTAAGGTACTTGGGTTTGTATGGTAATATTGTCTGGGGGATGAATCTCAGGGGGAGAAGCATCCTCTTAAATATTACAGAGCAGGGGTCAATTCTGCTGCTGGGACCGGTGCAGTCCCCTTATTGTTACACTTTTCCTTGGGGGAAAGTGTCAGGATATTCAGAGCATGATAAATGTACATGTGTTGAATATCCTTTATTTCAGAAAATACCATAAGAGAGATAAACATAATAATCATACACACAAGAGAGGTAAATTGGATAATCATCTCTTGGATACACCCATGAGATAATTATCCTTTTCACTTGATTATAATTTTCATGAAAGAGGTAAATTAATAAAGAGGTGAATCTTTATTAATTTACAGAATAATTATTAACATAAAAAATACATGTAAAAAGGGATAACATTACTTAATAATTATTAACTTAAAGATTACACATAATAATAATTGTTATGTAACCCAAGGGGGTTACATTCTATTGTAGACACCTGGGCTAGTGTCTCAGTGTCTGACAGAGAGGCTTGAGCCTAAAACCAACTCACCCACGTGTCACAGTCAGGTTTTTTGGCTGTTTTTTGTGCCAAAAATCATAGAAACTTCAGCTTGTGAATTTCTTGAAAACTGAGTTGGGCTCAAGATGTCCAACATGGAGGTCTTGACTTGTGTCAATTTTTTTTTTTTGGAAAAAAAAATGAAAAATACACAATTGAAGAATTTGAAAAGGAAATCTGCCAAATGAAAAGTTGGCTGAGCTTACATAAGCCAGTTTCAACCTCACTGCCTACCAGGGGAGAACTTTTTCTCAATTTGACCAACTTGAAAAAAATCTACCTCATCTAATTTTCAAGATAATGTTCTGGAATTTGGATGAGGTGAGAGGCATCACCAAACTCCAAAAGCTTGTATACTCAAATCCTCAATAGCTGGTGATGTAAATTCTGTACATCCAGCTCAATGTATGTTACACCAAAAGTGCCCAACCGTGACATGTGGGCATGTTTGTCTTTGTCCTAAGTCCCTCCTTTGGAGGTAAAGAATGAGGCTGCGCACCTGGGGAGGGTACCTGGCACCCGTTGGCGGGTACCGCCTGCACCTTCATTGCACCCGCCCATGGGTGCCAGGTACGGGTGCGGGTGCCTGTTTTTTGGGCTAAGGAGGTGCGGCACCTGGGTACCTGGCCAGGTATCACCCCAGTCCACCCAGATGGGGCGGGGATTCGGTCAGGGCTCCCCCCACCTCTGCCACATTGATATATGCTGGCCATCTGGATACAAACTTGACGCAAGTCCTGCGTGCGGAATTTGGCAGAGGCGTTGAAACAGCAGTGGTGCCTCTGTAATTTGCAGAGGGACTTGCGAGGAATCTTGAGTCCACGGTGTGACATCAGGAAATTGCTTTGGTGTAGAACACCCTCTTTCTGACCTACATCTCACAACCTGCCACAAGGTTGACTTTTTTGGGGGCTGGGATAATGGCCTAAACTATCCTAACATTTCCATCTACTCAATATTTCAATTCTGAGGATGGAAGTATCTTATTTATTTTCTTGAAAATGCAATATTTTCAATTTTCTTATGTATTACATAAGCCAAATTTGAGTCAAAACCCGCATGCAAATCAAAAAAACAAGCCATTTTTCTCTGCTTTCTTTTGTGGCTACAAGATCAAGATTACAAGGGTAAAGAAAATGGAATGGACCAACAGATTCACATCTTAAAAAGCAAAAGTTCTATCTGTTGGGATAATGACAAGGAGGAGTGTGTTTTTTGTAATCTTTTTTAAAGGGGTAATTGAAGTAAATGCAAAATGATGCCACCTACCAAACTCAACTTTGGGCCTAAGCCTCTCTACGAGATTGTTACCTGTAACACACTTGCAGAGAGGCTGCTTAAGCTTGATGTGGATATACATGTCATATATCCATCTTCAGACAGCACCAGACCAACCACAATGCTCGCACAACTGGCCCAGAAATCAATCCTACCACACTTCTTTGCCGGCAGATAATCCCCCCAAAGAAGAAGGCACTCAAGGTACTACTAGAGCAGATGATTCAAACACCCCAACAAACAGTCAGGTCAGAGCATTGACCAATGAGGAAGAGCTTGGTCAGTTCCATGATGTCTTCTTTCATGGTCTTTATCCTTATCCTGACCCAGATTTTTTCTATAGCAAGAGCACAGAAAATTGCCAGACTCACTGTCAGTCCAAGCTACCAATCTTACCACCCCAAGCAGAAGCTCAAAAATCAAGTTATTGATCTTGACAACAATGAAGGGTCTACCTGATGTAATTGAATTAGCTTAAGGAGTGAATTTAAATAAAATACATTTTTTATTTTTTATGGAACCACAGCACTGCAAGCCTCTGAAGTGAGAAAGAGTGAATAAGTCATGCCGGTATACTGCCGGTACACCCGCAGTACACACTTTCAGGGGCAGGGTATGGGTAGAGGTGCCTGTTTTGTTTGTGAAAATGGGTGCAGCACCCGGGTGCGCAGCCACTTTCTTTATTTGGAGGCTCGCGGTTCCACACCAGCCAAGGCCACCAGGCCCTCTGACACAAGGGAATTTGATAAGTTTGACTCATCATGCCTTCTGCATGTACCTGGGTTTCTTAAGGACTTGAGAAGGGCTACGTATGTCTTTCTATGTTTTGGGTCACCAACCTCTATTGCACTCAGCTTGTTAATCTTGATGTTGTGGAAGGCAGTACTGTTACTTTTGGAAAATCCACTTCTGTAATCCAAACTTCATCAGTTCTGTCTATCAGTGACAGTTCCATTGGTCTGATGGGATATCACATCTGAAATGCATCCTCTTGTGCCCCTAATCCTGAATATATGCACTATTCCCAGTAAAATCAAAGTGTGGGAACAGGACCCCACAGAGCAGGTCCAGATTTTACTAACAAAAATCTTGTGTGAAGCCGCTTTGACACACTGCCACTAGGAATTATCTTCTTATGCTCAAAAACATGGACACATGTGCACTTGAAAGAGGAATCATGGACAGGTAGTTTGTAGTCACTCAAGCACTTCCCGTTGGTTCTGGGACCCTTGAAGATCTCAGTTTGGTCCTGGACCCAAAAAGTCAAGAAGTTTGATGCAGGAAATCTCACTTTCAAGGCTCTAAATAATAGCTTCCGGTTGACTCACTGATGTTGACAGGAAATTGCCCATCACAAGCCATATGTTGGCAAGGAAAGTGAAACAAGAAAAACAGAGGACTTCCTGTTGCCTGAATTTGTAAATTTACAAGGAAGGGTGGTCCATCTAAATTAAGCCATCATCTGGTCTACATAGGGCAAGTCCTTCAGTTTGTTTTAATAAAGTACAAATACCACGGTTTTTATTACTATTACTAACATCTGCACCAGGGCTCTGTGTGAACTTGCTCCTAAAAGACATACTCTCTCCCTTCATAATTCCCATCAAATCAGTTAGTATTCATTTTGAGAAGGATGTCTTACTGCTGATTTCATATTTCAAGCTTTCACCTATGATCCTCTTATCACTCACCATAAAATGGCTCCATTAATAGGGGGGTTCACAATTGAACTTGAGTGAAATTTTTAAGGTGTTTATGAGCAACATTTTATAATTTTTTTGAGTTTTTCCAATTAGGGCAGTTCACGTTCTGCTGATGTTGACCATCAGCAGTCGAACCTTGTTAGAATCCCTCTCTTAAGGTTTATGGGAAAGCAACAGGGTTTAGTGGGAGACTCCCCTTTGGAGTCGAAATCCCACAATTAAAGTTCACAAAGTTTGTGCATCAGCAAACAAACCTTGTGCCACATCAGCAGGATTTTTGGTGCAACGTGAACTGCCCTATTAAGGCAGTTCACGTTCCAGCCAAACCTCTGCTGATGCAGCTTAAGGTTTGCTTGCTGATGCACCAACCTGATGAACTTTAAATATGGGATTTTGAATCCAAAGGGGGACCTCCCACTAAACTGTTTTGGTTTCCCATATACAGTGACCCCGCCTTGTAAGCATACACGATATAAGCATAACCGCGTTGTAAGCATAGCATAAATATTGATTTCCAGCAACCATTTTCTTGGTTTTGCAGTAAAATTACCTCCATAAGAAGCATACCTCCATGTAAGCATAGGATTTGTGTCGACCATCCTTATGCTTACATAGCGGGGTCACTGTACCTTAAAACAGCTATTCCAGCAAAGTTCGACTGCTGACTTCGAAATCAGCAGTACGTGAACCCCCTTATTTATTGGTTTCTGAACTTTCTGTACATCACAAAAAAATTATAAATTTATGATCAGAAACATCTTAAAAATGGCCTTAAAGTTCAATCGTGAACCCCCCTAATGGGTAGGTATGTACAGGTTCAAAAGAGTTGAGTTATTTTCCTCTTTGTACATAACACAACCTTGAAAAATCTTCCACAAGAACCTGTAAAAGATTCAAATTAAATCAAATTCTCATGTATATGCAAAAACCTTCTAAAAGGATATGTTGGGTGTGATAGACTGACAGAGTATGGCTGTGCAGACTGAAACCTGCCGTGCATCAGCTCATTACCGGTGCATCATCATGTGAACAGTGGTTTATTTGATTTCAATCGATCACAGGACAAAGATTTGAAAGATTTGAAGTTAATTTCTATGTAACTACGCCGGTTGTTGTAACCGGGTCAAGGGTTGTCTCTTGGAGTCTTCGTGCTCGGACAAGTGCAGACAGGGACATGAGTCTGAATTGTAGGGTTGCAATATTGAAGCAAGACTTGCATAAACTTGCGTGTGACGAGAATTAATTGACCGTCATTAATGCAGAAGAGTAGCCGTCATCGATGATGATTTTTCACTTGAAAAGACTTTCATCAAGTCGGGACTTGTCATGTCACCTTGTTGACAACTTATTGCAACCACCAATTTGGCGCTGACGGCGTACATACTTGATTGCCCGAGGACAAAATGCTGCCATTAATGAGTTTCTGGATGAGATATCTTGTGAGATGTTAAGTGATGGCTGTGGATCGGTACCGCTCTGATTCACAAGTGAGGAAATTGGTATAAAAGGCTTTGTTTTTCGCCTTCATTGTTGCTTTTATCCCCATCCAATCACTCAACTTCGTCACCTTTACAGGAACAACCAGTCTTTCATTTGGCTCCTTCGACCATCTTCAAGTTCCACCATGTTTTCTCAAGGTTCTTCTTTGGCGCTTTTGCTCGGTGCTAGTGAGTCTTGAGTTACTCCTGAGGACCGGAACAAAGAAACCTGAGATCAAGCAGCTGACAGAACATACGACTGAACAACCCAGTCCTTTCTGTTGGTGTGCAAGCCGCACCAGAGCTCTCGGCTCGTCAAGCGGGCTATGCTGCATCCAGCTCATCTAGTCAAGTCGAGACATTCAAGTCCAGCTGGCAAACCCTCTCTCAATGCTTCACTCAGACTCAATCGGTCTTCGAGAGTCATGCGACGGTAGAGGTTGCCTACCAATCCGTTCAAACCCTTACCCAGACTTATCAATCCGCCTACAGCCAGCTCCAATCCTGCAGTTCCTGCTCGGACGGCTTGGCCCAAAGTGGCTTCCAAGTGAGTGTCTCCTTCCTCTTTTTATTCATGAAATTTCCTCGGCAAAATGCAAAAGGGAGGATTGGTTGAATTGATTTCATGGATTTGTCGCTATGTTTCCAGTCACAATTCCAGCAATCTGTTCAAACGATGTACACATCTCTCCAGTCCATCATCACTACTGGTCAATCGACCTATGCCGCCCAATGGCAATCCCGATTCGCCGGTAAGTTTGATTTATCCCCCGAGTCCCGACACTTCAAATTTCAGAGGAGGCGATCTTAACAGGCGAAGCAACTAACTTGGTGAATTACATTTACAGCTTCGTTCCAACAGATGAACACTTTCGGAACCTTCTGCCAGACCATCGCGACTGGTCTTCACATTGATTTGGGAGCTATCTTGAAGGGACTCAACCTTAACCTGAACATTTTCTCCAACATCGGAATCGACCTCGGAGGGATCGTTGGGTCTGTCGGGAACTTAGTCGGTGGCCTGCTTGGTGGAGGACAGGGTAACGGAGGCTCTGGTGGGAACCTGCTCGGCAACTTGCTCGGTGGAGGACAGGCTAACGGACAAGGCCCCCACGGCGCTGGCGGCAATGGAGGAGGCTTGCTTGGCCTTGATGTTGGTGGTGGTCAAGGTGGTTTGCTCTGAAGCTCGTAAAAAACCGATATCCTTGTTTGCCCTAACTGCAACTTTCTATCCGCATCTTCTATAATCTTGATCGCGACCATCTCTTTCTTTCAATCTATCCTTTCTTTTCTATACCGACTTTTAGTTCATTCTGCGATCTTTTCCGCTTTCCATCTTCTCGCGAGAAACGGCCATTCTTCACCCTTTCATCTTTAATAAATGGTTTTTTTGCATAACTAGCCTGATCTTATTTAAACCGAGAAACGCTTCTGCATGAGTTTGAGTAATACATGTCCTTGAGAGATGTTCCATTCACCCAGCCAGGGTTTGCTTCAAGGCCGATACCGTGCATTTTGCCCATATTTCACTTTGGCCGACATTGTGGCACTTGTTATTTTCGAACACTCAACACTTTGAGAGCGAGACTTGCCAGTGACTTAAAAGCTCGGCGAAAATGATCGAGTCGTTGGTCTGGTTCTGTGGCCCGTTGGACCGTCTTCAAGGACGCATCAACGCGCTCCTCCAGATTCAACAAAAATAAACTCGTCTGCGTTCAAAGAGAACCTCAGTGATTGAGCTTGGATGGAACCGTTGGCAACTGCTAACCTGAATAACAAACCTCCACTGGACATAATAAATGATTTAAGTGGGATTAGGTGAAAAGGCCGTTTTGATTTTAGCGACATTAGGCGAAAAAGGCCGTCTTCGATCGTAGAAATCATGATCATATATATATGCAGACTGGACTAACTCGCATCAAGGTCTAACACTTCAACCAACAGAAAAGATGACAATCCAAGCTCCAGAAAATTTCATGGACCAAAACAAGAAATAGACCACTTGATTGACATCCTGTTAAATGAATTTCAAAAACTTAGCCACAGTCATTGTTTTACACACGGCATTGTCAGGTAAAGTAAAATAACATCAGAACTTCAATACTAGATAATTTCTTTCTACTGGGCAATTTCTTTTAGCAAGCACTGACTTTGAATTTCAATGATCTACAGGATCAGTGTAGTTCAAGGGAAAGGGGTCCAAAAGATGTTTGTATTTTTGCTCTCCTAATCATGATTAGTAGAACAAAAAGAAAATGAAATAATGAGTTGAAGATGTGAAGAATTTTGAGGTTTCACAAAGAAAAAAACAATCTGCCCTATCAGTACCGGCTTTTGAAGTGACCATCAATTAATCAAACATGTAATTAAATATGTGGCATTCAAAAACTGCATGTGTTGCTTAGCACATAAACCAGTATCAAGATTGGTTTATTTTTCCAGGAACTGTCAAGCAACATGACACAATTTTACAGGCCTCTGAAATCACCAAGAAGTATGTCAATTTGTTTTGCCAATTGTCTTAAATTTTTCTGAATTCCAATACTTTTATCCAGGAAGATAGAATTGTAAGAAACACTATGTAGGGGTCATCAACTGCCAGTGGATGACTTCCTGTTGGATCTGGGGTCCACCTAGGTTTTGATTTAGGCCCAAAAAAAGCTACAATTTCACAGGGAAATCTAGCTCTCAGGGCTTTACTTCAAAACCTGGGGGGGGGCACAGATTTTGACAGAAAGCCATCCCATGATTGTTTGGTCCTAATTAGTATGACATATAGGAGAGAAAGAGACGCAGTTGAAGCAAAACAGGGCTCTCATTTTGACCTGAACACTAAACATTAAAAAGTCAACAATAAATGAGCATTGTCAGGTTAATTCTTTACAAATTCAAAATAACTTGGTACAGTGAATTCCAGATAATTCAGAAATACATTTGCCATATGTATTGATGGAATAAGTGAATCACATTCAATTGCTTGATTTTTTTTCTCTGTTAATAAGGGTTCAGAGACTGAAGTTAGTGATTAAAGTGCTTATTCAAGAATACAAATATCCATCTCTGATGAATTATTATAATCCAAAATGCTGTATTCTATCTGGATGAATGATCAGTGATGATAATTAAATAATTAACCAATATAGACTATCACTCAATACTTGCTTCTTGTTGAGTGATGTTTTAATTGTCTAGGTAATCCTCTTTGTTTTGATGGAGCTTTATAAGTCACCTCATTCAAATTGGTAGTTGTTACTTCTTCAAAGGAACAGAAAACTTAACAATCCTAGCACATACCCTCTTTTCTCATACTATACATATATGTGTGTGTGGTGCTTTTTTCTGTTTAAAATAAATAAATAAACCTCCAACCTTGTGGGTGTCTCACATCTGGCTTACATACATAGGTCTATGTATAGAGAATATTGGCAGCAACTCTCATAATATCTCACAAGGTGAGTGGTTTGGAGAGTTTCTGAAAAATCTGCCCAGCTATTCCATCCTTTGAAAAAAAAAGTGTTGGTAAACACCTCAAAATGGGCTTTAAAATCTGATAAGTTTCCATCATGAACCCAGCTGTTATGTATAGATGTTCCCAGATTTGGGGAAGTTTAGGGCTTGAGGTGCACAGCAGGTTGTTTTTGTTATATGTATGTATGAGTAGATGAAGTTTCTTTTCAAGTTGTTTGTTCTTGTGGATTGATTCTTTACATAAATAATTACAAAGTTAAAAATTGTACATATATGCAGGTTGTGTAATTTATGTATGTATGTAGGCCCCTGTGAAGATCGATGAAATCATGATTTGTGGATACAGAATCGCAGGAGGGGGAGGAGGCACAGGGGGGGCTTGTGGTTGATCAAATCTAGTTTTCGAGCCCCCCCCCTCTGTTACTTTTAGTTAAATCTGTATTTGCCACCATACACGATTTGAGTTTCTTTTTCAACTCCGATTTTTTCGATCGTTAAGTCCATAAAGTATGTGGTACTGTAGTTTTCCCGGATGTCCGATTGGTTTAATTGGGTTTTCCCCTTCCCTGATCATTTTTACATACTCTTTTTTTTTTTTTTTTTTTTTTTTTTTTCAGTCGAGAGTTCAATCACCCGTGACCCAACACACCGCCCAGCCAGTCGAAGTCCCCAGTTGACCAAACCCTAGACAACTTCGTCATCGAACCAAAAAAAAAAAGCACACACACAACACCACCACCACCACCTCACAACCATGGTCAGTCTTTTTATATATCTCCCTGCTCCTCCTCCTCACGATCGTCAGATCGAACAACACAGACAGCATCGGATCACTGATCTCAGCGTCATTCAAAAACAGGGCCAAACACTCTCAGAACCGATCGTCGAGAAACATACCAGCGCAGGCGAAGATGAGGAATTTGCCTTCGGGGTTTCTGAGATGCAAGGCTGGAGATTGAGTAGGTTCCTTCTTCGAACATAAGAGAGAAAAAAAAGAAGAAAACCCATTGGAGAAAGACCTGTTTGCTGGTCTTTGCGATCATCCGATAGATATGTACCCCCTGATCTCTGACCTGTCTCTCGGATCCATTTTTTTTGGCAGCTATGGAAGACGCACATGCTGCTGTATTGGATCTCAACCATGCCCCGCCCAATTCTTCATCAACCACCCCCGCTTCTACAGAGCCAACAAAAGAACGAACAAGGTTCTTTGCAGTCTACGATGGCCATGGCGGTCAGTTTCTCCACTATCAGTGACAGCAGACCCTAAACTGGCCGATCGAACTCGCTCTACCTTTCTCTCTTTCCAACTCCCCCATTTCTTCTATTCATTCGTATATAACAGGCTCGACCGTCGCCAAATTTTCGGGCGATACCGTCCACTTCAGATTACGTTCGACAGCCGAATACCAGAGTGGAGATTACGAGGCAGCACTCAAACGAGCCTTCCTAGCCACCGATGAAGACCTACGTGCCAGTCAGTCTTTTCCCTATTTCCCTCTCTCTCTCTGGCTCCTTTTTCTTGAACCTTGTTTTTGGTCTAAAAGAGTTCATCACTCAATCGTCTCTTTCTCTTGATGGTGATCGGCAATAGATCCCGATTTCGTGAACGATCCGTCTGGCTGTACCGCCGTCGCTGCACTCATCACACCCGATGGAAAAATCATGGTGGTTAGTGATCAGCCCTCATTTATTGTCCGACAATCCCCGAACTTCCTTTTAGGCTCGATTTTTTTAACCTGTTCTGTGTCCTACTTGAAATCCCGCACCACCTTCTCTCTATCTCTCTCTCTTACCATTGCCATCATCATCGTCTTTGGATTCTTCTTCTTTTCTTGCTAGGCCAATGCTGGTGATTCACGATCGGTCCTATCTGTTAACGGTCTTGCAGAGCCCATGTCTCACGATCATAAGCCGGTCAATCGAGGCGAAAATAATCGGATCGTAGCTGCTGGTGGATTCGTCGAATTCGGTCGAGTCAACGGTCAGTCTCCTTCGTTTTTTTCTTTCTTGCGGGATCACCCCTCAAATCTCTCATTTTTCTTTCTCTAACGTACCTTGTATCCTTTTTTTCTTCTTCAGGTAATCTGGCGCTTTCTAGGGCCATCGGGGACTTCGAATTCAAGCAAAACAAGGAATTATCTCCTGAAGCTCAAGTCGTCACTGCTAATCCTGATATCTTGACTCATCAGATTACAGCAGAGGATGAGTTTTTGATCTTGGCATGTGATGGTTCGTCAGCTTAATCAATCGTGATCCATATATGAGCATCTGAGCTAAACAGGTGTCCGTGGATTCAGGTATTTGGGATGTGTATTCTAACCAGCAAGTGGTTGATCGGGTGCGAAGATTGCTTGGAGAGCGTAAGACGCTAGAGCAAGTAGCCGAGCAGATGATCGATTACTGTCTTGCGCCGGACTGCGAATGGGGAGGAGTAGGATGTGACAACATGACATTCATGATTGTAGCGATCTTAGGGGGGAAAACGAAGGCGGAATGGTACGATATGATCAGGACGCGACTAGAACGAGGGGAAGGACACCAAACCCCTAGCAGTTTCCCTCAGCCTTATGCCCGAGGTCCCCGAGGAGAGATTTTGGCGAACAGTATGAAGGTCGTGATGGGGAATGGATCCGGCGAAGATCATCCTCCTCCAAGTCCCCCTCCCGGATACCAAAACTCTCAAGACGATCCGGATCATGAGCAACAGACTTCTTCTTCTAATCCTACCTCGGCCGGAAGCCTCTTCTCTCTCGCCCCTGTGAGCATCATCGAGGCTCTCTCTCGGGTTAGCAACTATGATCCCACAGCTTCTCTTTCTGATCCTCCAACTACTGGCCCGGTATCTTCTGATCCTTCTTCTGATGCACATCCTCCTCACTCTAGCGAGACTGAACCTAGCACTACTACTGGCCCAGCAGACTCTTCCTCTTCTCAGCCTCCTCCTTCTTCTTCTAATACTAACACTAATGCTATAGACTCTTCTACTACTACTACTACTACATCAAATACTTCTTCTTCTACTGCTGCTACTGATGATCATGCTTCTACTTTATCTCAGTCTGTTGATAATAGTAAATTGGCTTCTTCTGATGTTTGACCTTTTTGTTCTTCTTTTTTCCTTTGTAATTATACTTATAATATATATCTATATATATATATATATATATATTTCACATTGTCTTTTCTTTTTCTTTTTCTAAAACAAACTTTTTTTTTGTAATCCAAAAAAACACAAAAAAAAAACATCAAGTTTATAAACAAGTAAACAAACATCATCATCAATAAAAAAAACACAATCACAATTTCTTCTTTTTTTCTGTCTCTTTTTTCTACCTTTCATCATCATTGATCATGGTCTCACCAATCACACTTTGACAACAACAAATCTTGATTGGTCTTGTTGATTTTTCCACCCTTTTTTTTATTTTATTTTGGTTTGGTTTGTGTCACTTACATATTTATCTGTTTTCAGCTTTTTTTGGTTTTGGTTTTGGTTTTGAAAGAAAAAAAAAAATTAAAAATAAAAATTAGAAATGTTTTTACACTAATCTTGCGGTGGGGGGGGGGGGTGCCTTCCAAGGAGTATTTCCCTAACTTAACCAAGTCCCTCTGTGGGAGGGGGGACACCGTCCCAAAGGGACGCTCCGCAGGAGGGACTTATGAGCTAAGTTGACCCTCTCCTCTCTCCCAAGAGGATTAAAAAAATCAGTCTCTTTTTTTAATCCTTTCTCCTGTGTTTTAGTTTTACTTTACCTGACAATGTAATGTGTAAAACAACAACTGGGGCTAAGTTTTTGAAACTCATTTGACAGAATGAGGAGTTCAATCAAGTGATCTATTTCTTGATTTGGTTCATGAAATTTTCTGGAGCTTGGAATGTAATCTTTTCTGTTGGTTGAATAGGTAGACCTTGATGTGAGTTAAGTCCAGTCTGCATATATGTGTGATCATGATTTCTACGATCAGAAACGGCCTTGTTTGACTAATTCCACCAAAATTATTGAACCAGATTTTTTAGGAACGTTTTCTTGTTTTTTTTGTAGACAACCTAAAGTGTGTATGTGTAAACACGCATATTCAAGAGCACTTCACTACAATTCCATTGGGCAACCAAAAGATAATTCAAAAGAATTTGACCTGATTTTTATTCATTTATTCGTCCTTCGGCATCATTTTTTGATTGTTACTTTCAAAGCATTATCTTTTCTTGGAGCCTGCAAGCCAGAGGGACCCTCCGCAGGAGGGACTTATGAGCTAAGTCGACCCTCTCTCCCAAGAGGATTAAAAAAATCAGTCTCTTTTTTTAATCCTTTCTCCTGTGTCTATCTATTGGTCTCCAGGTACAGAGCCGCCCACCGATAGGAGGGGCTTTTCGGGCAGATTCTTTTTATCACACTCTCAGTTTTGTGAGGTGACTTCGCTCTTGTCCACCTTAGCTTTTTCACTTTCATCTCTCAAAAGCAATTTTGAGGTTGAACCTGTATTCAATGCCACACATCAGGTATACAGGAGCCTTTCAATTAAATACAGTTTTGTATGCACATATCCAAGCTGGCTACATTGCCACAAGACCGACAAAATGCTGCATACCAATTAAGAGCTTGGAAGAAGCGGGAAGCTGTTCTTAACCCATAGGAAATATTGCAAGGATCAAGAAAGGCAGGCACTTGGATTGGCTCCCAACATTTTAACTTGATTCCAATGTGAAGTGGTGACAATCAAGGGGACGGTTGGACCATCCATATTGTGAAGACTAGATGGAAATTGGTGCACAAATGAGCTGTGGAGGCGAGTTATAAAAAAGTCACCAGCCAAACTCTTAATCCTCTTGGGCCGCGGGGGCAACATAGCCCGTAAGTCCCTCCGGCAAGCCATCGGATCAACTGCCAGGAGGGACTTAGTTAAGTTAGAGTATTTCCCCTTGACAAACAGTACTGACTGGACCAGCTACCAGGTAGATTCTTCCTGGACAGTAAGCTTGGTATTAGACTTGTAAATGTCAAATCATCTCAGTCCCCCAGTTTCAATTTGAAGCCTCAAAAGCTGGTCTAGATGAAAAAAAAAATGGGAGGGCCCCAGATTCAACAGGGAGTCCACTTATTGAGTCTTAACCCAGTGTAAGGTATCCTGGTTGCCCTGAAGTCTCCCTTATAAGAAACTCACTAATGTATGAAATGGACAGTCAAAGGAGAAGAAAAAAAAATGGACAAGATGTCTTTGGTTGCCAAAGGGAAGCCTTGGGGTTGACTGATACTCTATCTGTGAGGAAACCCAATTGACAATCTAGCACTTTTTTTACCTGTGGCTCAATTGATATTTTTCTCCCTGGCAAATGGGCATCTATTGTACCGATTCATCAAAGCAGAATTCCTTTATTTTGCAGCTGCGGTGGCTTGTACCACACCACCATGGAGGATTATACCTTGGTAAATGGTGTTGAGCCTTAGCACAATTTTTTTATCAATAAACCTCAGATAGAAATTAAAGAAGAATACCCCAGTTTGAACAAAGACAAAAAACAGTATGAGGAAGAAATATTAATAGGATTCAGGAACAGGCAGGAATATTATTCAACTCCAAAGAATTTATTAGATAAAGCAGACAGCAAATAGAAGTAGTAACATTGTATGAAGAATAGGACACAGGACTACAAAGAAAGAAGAGAAATGAAATATTTGCCTATTACACTTTCAACACTACCTCATATCCAGTACTGGATATGGAGTAAGAAAAACTGGATATTCAGTGTTTTTTTTAAAAAAAAAATGGTGTGAAGAGGTGAACAAAGGATATGTAAAAATACTACATATCCAGGTTTATTTTACTGCACATCCAGTGCAGGATATGAAGTTATGTTTCGAGTGTTAGAATAGGAAGAGGATGATGTTGAGTCTTTTTTGCTGGTTGACTAACAGTGAACACTGTGTGATCCAGGTCAAGAGGAGTGGGTCAGCTGGGAATTTGGGATTGAAAAATGAAGAAGATGAGTCAATTGAAGTTGAGTTGAGTCCACAGTGGAATTGAGTTTAACAGAGTGAGTGCTTTGGGTTAGGTTGACAAAGGATTGCCATAAACCAATTGTGAAAGCTGTGATGGAATCTTAATCTTTACCTTACTCAAAAGTTAGAGGTTTCAATATCTTCATGATTGAATTGTCAGATTTTTCTCTTGGTCATTCGGAAAACTAGGATCCTGAATGCTCATGATTTGTCAGTGTCATTTTGGGCTTCAGCCAATGCGCCTCCTCCTTGCAAGATTTGTTACCTGGAGATCACATGTTATGACGTCCTTTGCACTTTTTCATTTGAAATAGTTTTGAGGGTGCATTTTCATCACCCCCTTTTTTGATATATTTTGAATTGCCTCCCCCCCCCCCCATACCTACTAAACAGGCAGCCATTTTTTCATGACTTTAGTTCAGTACTACTTATGTTTTTCATAACCCTCCCAACCCAAAACATATCAACATTCCTTGCAGCTATGGAGGCCAATGGCTTTCCAGATGGTCTTATGCAGTAAACAGATTTCTCCCATGAGGGACCAGCACTTTTTGTCACTTTTCACATTACTTTTTTCTACAAAACCTTACCCTGTTATACAATTATTCCAATATGGGAGGATCTTTGCCCCAATTGTCTTCTAGTATTGTGATTGTGGGGTCAAGTGGTGCCAGCTAGAATGATGGGCAGAACTTCAGACACCAGCCTGTTGAGTGTCACATTCTCTAACACTTTGAGAGTAGGCTTTATTGACAGATTCTCCCAACAAACTTTGAAGAAGCACAAGCCATCGGGCCCCACAGTCTCGAAGTTAGTCGAATCCCTAATAGAGAGATTGTATGGTTGGAACGAGCCTGAATCCAACCATCCTCCGAGGCTGCCGTTGGACCATACTCGGCTGGGTTGGGGTGAGACTCGCAATACCCACCATTGTCCAACCCACACCGATCAAAAAATGTGACCAGGTGGTGTAGATTTAAAATGCCCCCTGGGCGGGGGAAAGTGTTTCTTACGATTCCGGTGAATCGCAGTTCGTGGTGCATGGATTCGATCGTCTGGAGACAGAAAGCGATGCAAACGGCTCGATGGGCATCTCTGCGCCTGGGGCCGACAGAAATTGTGCTAGCGTCCCTAGGGACCACCATCAAGCGTCCGGGCCGTCATTTGGTTTACCGGCTATGGCGGGTAGGCGGACTGGCCATTAGAACGCGGCCTCAGTAACCACTTGGAATTCGAGTGGTTGCTTCACAAAGAAGGAAAGCAGAAGCTGGCAGCATGTTTGCAAGGACAATGCACACAGCCGAGTTTCGAAAACGAGAGAAATGATCAAATCAGATCAGAAAATGTGGCGACATCAAACAGACAGAGTCTCAAGAACGCTCCAATATTCGCGTCTAACAGCTGAATGTGCACTCCATTCGCTGACAGCATTGCACCCGTCCTACTGGGGAGGTGAGGCTGTTCTTTTCCTAATTGCCAGAAAGAAAAGCGGCCTTTAGCAACCTGCGCATCACCGGGTAGAGCACCCACCCTGTATTTAAGACTCGGTCAATTCACGAACACGCCAGTGAGATTGTTAAGCTAACAGACGTTGTTGTCGCGATAGCCTCTCAACATGACCAATTGAAATGCCCACCCTCGCTGGATCGCTCACATCAGGTCTGGGCGTCAAGTTGAGCCTGGCAAGACGAATCTCGGTTTGAGGTCACCGCTAAGCGGGAGGTACAAAAGGAATGGGTCCATTGATTATACGAGGAAACTTCTTCCCCAGTTTTTGCTTTAGCTTTCAAGTTGAACTTTCGAGCTTCCAAACACTATCCTTATTCCTCCCAGTCCTGGTGACTTAATTCTATATACCCTCTCCCTCCACCCAAAGAACCCACTTTTCAAGCTTCGGATCACCTATCATTTCACCGTCAACCTTATTCTGTACCTATAACTATAAGAAGCGGTTCATTAAGAGTCATAATTATTTGACCCTCCGTACTATCCCTTACTCACTCTTCAGATCCTGGTGATCTTTCTTCGCGCATTTATCCAAACACCAATTCACGCAGAAATAATTCCATCATGAAGTCTTCTCATGTTGCACTCGTTGTATCAGCCCTGGCCATGACGGCTTCCGGGGTGAGCATAGGCCAATTACCACCGTCTCCAACAAAGCTGTCGCAGAACTCAAAAGAATACGAATCTGGTCCTGGAATCGAGGCCATCAACCGTCGTCGTCCTGCCCGAGGCCCACTTCCGCGCACTCACAAACGAGCTAAAGGCTCAAAGAACCTGTTACAAGAAGAAAACGTGAGTCTTTTTACCTTCTTCATGATTGCTCTAGCTAAGTACTAACGAGTTTTTCCACTATGCAAGAGAACTCTGTCCAAAGGAAATGACGAAAACGAGCTACCGACCTTTGAAGAGTATATCAACTCCTTAACTCACCCAACCCATAGGAATCTCCGCTCAGCCTCAGCACAGCTCAATCGTGGTAATGCTAAGCATGCCAACCCCAACTCAGCACGCAAAGCTATTGCCTCTGTCGCTGTAAAAGCGACCTCGAGCGACATTCCTGGATTTGTGGACATCGCTCTCCCTGATCTACAATCTGGGGTAGCCAGGACAGTTTCCGGACTAGCGTACTCGATGAACTCTGGTCTTGGCGGTGAACTGGAACTCGGCACTTCTGCATCTCACTCGACTCAATTCTTCATGTCTCCCATTAAGTCTCGTCCTGGCTCTTCACTCTACCGCTTGAGAGTCCCCGTTATGGACAGCGCTACTTTCCAAACTACCGATCATTGCGCCACATTCCCCATATCGCCCGCCGGTCCACTATCATTGAAAAAATGTGGTAGCATGCCGGGTTTCTCTCAGAGTAAGCTTATCTTGCATTCAATATATTCATCCGTAAGGAGCTGCTGACCTTTTTCCCCATCTCTTCTACTTCTTTTATAGCTTTCTCTTATGACGCTGCTTCCGGAGAGCTGCAGCCGGTGTACCACGATGATTCCAATTCCAACTTGGCTACCAACGACCAGAATGTTCTCAACCATCAGATACACAAGCGCGATTTCTCCGGACTTTCAAACTGCGACCCTGCATCTGCGCCTCTATCCAAACGAGATGGCACACCTTCATCATCCCAACCCCCTTCTGCCCTCTTCTACTTTGTGCCCGCACAAGTTGCTAAGACTGGAGCTTCCATCCCCTCTAAAAACTCCGATCAGTAAAATTTGTAAAAACGGAATTAATGTAGCTGTGAACATCATAATTCATCTATAGTATAAATGAAGTATCATGAAGTAGCTTACATCCAATTAATTCATCATCATCATCACCTCCAATTTCAATTTAACAACTCCTTCTCTTTCTGTTTGACCAATCTATTTGAAAAATATCTTGAAGTCATCTGATGTTCCGCATCTAACTGTCCCAGGAGAAACTGATGACAATATTTGGGAGCCCAGCCGTAAGTGAGCATTCCATCTTCCTTTTGATCCTGGATAAGCGTTTTCGATCGGATAGCATCTTCATCAAGCCCCTCAGTCAGCTTTCAAATCAGGTCAATAGACAGTCGAGCCGCTGTCCCAACAATACTTCAAAGCATATAGCTTTGAAAACATAAACTTGTTTAAAAATTTGATTATGAGTCATGATGCTCATCGTATCAATGAGATAAGGATCAATCCTTCAGCAAAAGAGTTCTTGCATTTCTGGTGACCATGGTATCGATCCGAAAGTCATCAGCCACAACAAGATTAAACCCAGCGAGATATTGCACAAGCGTATTACCAAGTTGTGCTTAACCCTTACAGATCGGTGTTGCGGCGATCACTTCTGCTCGTAATAGTCGCTGGAAGACTTCATCGGTGGTTATATTCCAGCCTGCAGAAGGGAAGGAATTGCGCCACAAGTCAAATTATGTAGCATACCCAATTCTTACAGACACATCAAATGAGTGATATTGTTGATAGAACCCATCAAAAATCTGCAGGGATTATTATGTTGTGTCAATGAGAATGAAATACTGCCAATGCCACAAAAAATGGCACCAACAAATCTACCATCAGCCTGAACATTGGCTGGGCTAGCCTCTCTGTTCCCCCTTTTAAACAAGTGGATAACGTGCTTCAGCTTGGTCTGAAAAAGCTATTGGGGAGGTTCACACCTGAGGTTTATACAGTCCCAGATCCAATCTTATGGCCTTTTTCAACAACACTCTAGTAATTAGACACATTGCACAGATCTTGTGGCTTCTGCACAATCAGTAAGTAAACAGCTTTCGCTTTTCAATCAACACATTACAAATAGGCCAAATTGAATCATGATCCTCCCAATTGTGCATCAATTTGTATTCTTGAAAAGATCAAGAAGAACACTATTCTCTGGATGAGAATCTTTGTAATAAGGTTGGTGGTGTGTAACATACTGTATCCTTGTCATGTTATCAATAGTAATACAGCTTGTTGACCCTCAATCCAACCCATTACATCTTGCCCAACCATGGGAACCCTAGGTACTGTAGCTTAATGCTGGTAGAAGTCTCAAAAATATACATTTCAGTTCATTGGAGGACTTCCCGTTGTCTAAATTTGTTAATTTAGAAGGAAGCACTAAAGCTTATTTGCTGGTGAAAATTGTTTGACCTCGACAATTCACCAGCAAACAAAGTTTAGCCAGTCCCTCTAAATTAAGCGATCTGGGCAATGGGAAGTCCTCCATGAGGTCTCTATAACATGTTGGGGGTCAAATTGTTTGATCATCTTGTGGGCTCTGTTCTCATTATCTTTTATCCAATCTGTGGTATTGACCAGAGCATTCAAATCCATAGATTATTCTTTTTTTTTTTGAAAAAAAAAAACTTGATACTGATTTGGTCTACATACTCACTATTCCCCTGAGTGTTTAATTTTTTTTTTTCTTGATGCTAGTATTGTAATGTGAGATCTGCCGTAAGGACCTGTACCATATGGCATGAAAATTCAATTTTTCATAATTTTTCATAATATAAATTCCTCAAATTCTTGTATACTCAAAAGTGACCATGGCCAAAGGCCATTTATAAGCTCAAATTTGAAGAATTTCAACACCAGGTATCTTCAATCATTTTGAATTTTTGTGTAGGAGACAGAAAAAATGACCATTTTTCAAAATTCACTCCTATGGTACAGGCCCTAACTGTTGAATGACATACATGGATTCAGCCTAGTAAATGCTTTGCATTTATGTGGTTTATACCATGTGTAAGGTAAGATTCACACTACACAAATATATGTAGAAAACCACTTGTTAACAAGGATGATGAAGTGATTTGTCCAGGATTCAGGTACATCACGACCACATTTATAGATCCATTCCTGCACAAGAACAACAACAACAAATCCGACCCAAACCCCGTCCAACCGATATCGAAAAAAAAAGGAGAAATTGTAACTCTGGATCCGAGTTTGATACAGACCCCGGTTGATTTTTTTTGCAAAAAAAAAAACAACCGGAGTTGGAGGAACGATTGAAAACAACAAAGAAAAGGATGTTCATAGATTTCATATGATTTCAAGAGAGAGAGAAAGAGAAAGAGAGAGAAGGAAAAAGAAGTGAGGTTAAGATTTCAAGCCTTCGCGGGTTTGAGTGACTAATAGCCGTAACTCGGCCAAGCGATCAGCTTTGCGTTTCTTCTTATTATGAGGACTGATATCTTGGTCAGTATGAGCCAGTCCGTTATCTCTGATGGACAAGTTACTATCCGAGATCCTGATGAGGTTGATGTTTGTTATCAAGAGTAGTTAATTGTAAAAAGTGAGATGGATCAAGGAGCCGAAAGTGTGGGGAGAAATGTCAATATGAAATCCTTGAAGAACACGGGAACAAACGAATCTGAGATCTTCCTAGGGATATCAAAATGAAATGGCTTACGATGGATGATCAAGAGTGAGCGGTCTGGGGAAAACCTCAACGACCTGACGCTGAAGACGCTGGAAGGAAGAGTCGAGTTTGGGGCGAAGCTGGGCGTGTTCAGTGGTCCCAGCAGAAGCCGTTTTAAGTGGGGACCAGAGCACGCGAGTCGATGTTCTCGAGCTCTCCAGATCGCTGTCGGTCGATGACGAAGACTGCAGATAGCCGGTAATACAATCCAGCCAAGCCGCCAACAGATGTTGCCCAAACAGCTGAAAAAATTCCACTGTTACGTTCATAGCCCCCGTTAGCCGAATATCAGCCCAAAGCTTTCGATCAGATCTCTCATACTCTTGTAGGGCAAGAAGCTATCCTGACTGTGTTCAATAGGGAAAAAAAAGTGCGACTGACCTAGAGACAGTTGTGCTTGTGACTCAAATAGATGTGAGAGATTGAATGAGAAAGTGCCGAGGGGTAAAGAGGACTGATATTCGGATAGAAGACGATCGACGTTATCCGGTTGTCTATAAGAAGATGAAGATAAGAATTGAAGTTTAGATGGACCTTTGTGTGATTTAAACATGGAAGCTGAAGGTAGAGCAAAAAAAAAGGAGAAAGAAAAGGCATACAAATCCGACAGATGGCTGATGTGCAAGGTTTGGATGACAAATGCAAGTAGGGCATCGTCAGGGGGATGTAACATCCTGCCAACATACCCAGAGATTACCTCGAGAACATCGACACTGAATTTGATGAGTAAGCTCTTGAGTAATGACTTGATTTCGTCCGTCAGACGAAAGTCGTTGACGGGAACATATGCATGAAGCAAGCTGGCAGCTTTCCGATGTACGCCTCTCCAAATATGCATAAGAGGCAACAGGCGATCTAGGCGGAGCACGCTTGCAAATGGTCAGGACAGAGCAACGGGAGTGTGTAGTGACAAGGCTGGTCGAGATGTCTGTCTCACCTGCATTGTTCATTGACATCGCTGTGTTGACTTGCGGAACGGGCCAGCGATCTTGAAGAGCTTGCTCGAGCTCAACCTCCGGCGCGTCTAGAGACAGATAGACCTGATCAAGCCCATCCCGACCACTCGAGTTCCCTGGTGCGTTTGGTTGCTGAACCTGCCATGATATTCCAAGGCAACAGACGTGGCAAAGCGATCGGGTCTGAAGAATTCTCATTAATTGGACCGAAAATCTGTGGAAAACACAGCTCAGTATTCATACACTTGGATAGAGTCAGCTGAACACTGGTACGTACGAACTTGTTTGCTCGGTAGGCTCTTGCCAGACAAGAATCAAATCATAGCGAGAGATGTCCTAATGAATCGTTTCAACAGATATAAACAACCGGTAGAAGAAAGCAAGAATCAAGAACAAGCAGGCTTGCTCACCTTTAGATCCAGAGAATAGTCGGCGAGCTCGAAGGAAAATGAGACTTCATTGATGGTCGATTGAGTGCGACTCTGACCGACGGCAATATCAAATTTACAACGTAGCCAAGCTTGGACGCTGGGTGCTTGGGCAGGTGTGATCACTAAGACCCGAATCTCTCGGATCGAGAGTTGGTACGTCGAGAGAACCTTGCGGTACAAGTATTGGCTCACCGCTTTTTTCATACTTCCCGGATTCCAGATCGACGATATATCGCCAACTGGCTGAAAGCGTGCAAAACGGACAAATCCATTTTCCTTGTCAAAAAAAGTTGTTTTTTTTTGGTTGTCTTGTTATGAAAAAAAAAGCCTGGGTGATATCAAAACTTACGAGGCTTTGGACTCTTGCTGGATCAAATCCTTTCCAGCTGAGTCTTGACTTGTGAGAACGAGAGATAGTCATCCACTTTTGAAATGTAAATTTGAGTAAAGCGCGTTGACGTTTGGTATGGTATATAGCCAGGAGAGAAGAAGCCGCGAGATCAAAGACGACATCCTGTACGACCTCTGATAGAACTAAAGTTTCTATGTTACGTGAGAAATGAGAGATGACGCTCTCAGTCCTCCTTTTGTCTTCAGCAGATGCTTTCATGGACTTCTTTAAGAGTGTATTCTGTGCAACTTGCGCGATCGACGATTCCACGAGATTCGATACAAGTTCCGCACTAAGATTGGCAATAGCCTTATCATGATTCACCACTGGTGGCTGTGTTGGTTGAGTTATAAAGGGTGATGGGGGCACGAGAGATGGTGCGGGAAGCGAACCAGACGGGCTTTTTTTCGATGATGAAGCTGTTGGGCCAGTTGCACTGAAGAAGGAGGGAGAGGCTTGTATCGATTTCAAAGACGCAGAGCGCTTGGTTCTTTCTCGGCTCGAGGTCAGCTCAGCAGATCTAAAGTTTTTAGGCGAAACCTGAAGAGTGCGTAATGGGGTTGCGTGGGCCGTAGGAGAGGGGACGATTGAAGGACTGGTTTTGATGGGTGAAAATACTGATCGGTCAACGGTTACTGATTTTTGGACAGAAGGCACGACTGAGAAGGTAGGGGAAAAGAGAGATGGAGCGACTGGTAGGGTGAGTGGACGCTGGATCGATTTTGGGGCTTTGAAGATTGTTGGGACTGGTGGGAGAGGAGATGCAGCAGGTTCAGCTCCATCTATAAAGTCGATGATTGATAAATGGGTTCCCTTGGCAGTGATAAAGACCGACTGGCCGGTCCGGTAGGTTACAGGCTTATCTGTAGGCGGATGAGATTAGCGAGATGCGATCGACTAAGCCGTTGATACAGAGACAGACTCGCCATCAAAAGGGGCATGCCTATGTAGCTCCACCGTACATCTTTCCAATTCTCCCGACGACATCGTCAGGCCACATGCATTGCAGAAGCCATATGATTCTTCGAGTGACATGTAACAGAGCCTTGCGATCTCAACAAGCGGTACATGAGCCCCGTACTTCCGACATTGTGCCAAGCGCAGGGCTTTGAGGGCAGAGACACGGATCTCACTGAAATGAGTTTCGAGAAGACAGGCATTGAGGAAGGAGGTCTGAGTGGAGCTGACTTTCTTGAACAGACGGGTGAACGCGTTCAAGGTTGCTGGTGAATTCGCCGGCCTCCGACCGGCAGCTCGACTCATATTTCCACATTGGGCCAAGATTTGTAACTGGAGAGCCGATTGTAGTCTTTGATCGCTAAACACCTTTTCGGGAAGGCGCTCGGTGGCACGTGCAGCATCCGAATCTCGTAAATGAGTTAGAAGGTAATAGGCACGAAACTCGGCCTCATTGGGGCAGAAGCAATTTGATCCCCGATAATCGTCATAGAATTCGTTGAGTGACTGCAAAACTGCGATCACCTATAAGTCCAAATATAATTATAGTAGACTGAGACCAAAGTGCCAACGAACCTTTCCGAACCTGCTCGAGCTCTTGCTGTTCCTGATAGCTTCCGATGCCCTCCTTATCGCGTAAGAAATGTAGACAAAGGATGTGATAACGCGCGATTCGTTCGTGGCATTCGATTGCTATTGGCCCCCGGTCATTTTGAAGCGTGAAATCTTGGCGGATCGAACGTGTTCGATCACGAATGAAGCCATGGGTATCAAACAGAGACTCCTTCGCAAGTAAGGTCTTGAACAAGTAATCCAACGTGCTCTGATTGTTCCCGAAATCAGCTTACAAAAAACAAGATCAACCCCGGAGGTGTTTGTTAGGTGAGAGGTTGTTTTAGTACCTTTAGGATACCGGGAGGCCGGACATCTGATGGTAAGGGTTGGTCGTTCCCTGCAGCTGGGCGATGGAATGCCTTGACAGCTTTTTTGGGGTCGATTCGAAATGTACCGGGATACTACGAATGATAGTCATGGTCAGCCCGAGTCAAATAACACAGCCAAGATTAAGAAGAGGGCGCACTCGTTCCCATCTGTCTGAGTTATTCTGGTATTCCCTCTCGTGCCGTTCGAACTCGGGGCACATATCAAGACAGGTGCCCAAGAAAGGTAGGGCCTCATCCAGTCGGCGGGGCTTGAGCGGATCAGGAATCAGTCCTTGACGGACCGCATTTTGTCTTTCGGCGTCTCGATGTGGTTTCAACTAGGAAGAATGCGACGACAGGAATATCATTATTATTCGGCCGGCAGAGAAAGCTTGGAGCTATTTATTTCAATTATTTCTGACCTCCAAGAACCGATTGTCTGGGAAATCTGATCTCGATCGCGACGAAGGTTCTTCGGAGATCGGCCCATGGGGGGAGTTGCTCGTCATGGTTTTCTGTTTCTTTCGAGGGTCGATGATCCGAAGAGAGCCAGGATGGACTGAGTATGTAGGACGGCGTATGAATGTGTTCACAGTAGAAGTAAAGAAAAGCCTGCACAGCGCAAATGGGACGATTAATGTATGTAGATCGGGGGCCCGGGGGCCTGGGCGGGCCTATATCATGCATTCTTTTGGAGCCCAAGCCCGACTCGCATGGAGCCCGGAAGCGTCGGGGAGTTATGTGATCCCGAACTTTCAACATGTTTATTGTATGTATGCCCACAACACACCTACTTTATGAAGGTGGGTTACTCAGTCAAGAAGGCGGTGCTTGGATCAAGTGAGTTCATAGCAGCTGGATTCAAAAATAAATACAAGAAAAGGTTCTGATTTCCAGCAATGTTCCTCCTGCTTCAATTTCGTATGAAAAACATGAAGCTCTCGTGTCGTGGTGCTTGCCCACGATAAAGACCCTTTTTTCGTCTCCTCTCAGCATAGTCCATTCGCCCACTTGATCAAGCACTCGGTAGACCAAGTATTTCAAAAGAATACTCATTCTCATCAGTTCGAACCCGACAACAGGACTTGCTTGGGTGTTGCATCGATACTGTTGTTCATCTCCTCCATCGACTCCGCTGAGATGCGTTTCGTGAGGGCCGCAGCTTTACTTCAGATCCTCCCTGGTGTTTCGTTTGCCACGGACTGGGTTGCGAATCACGCTGCCTGTCCCGTAGGAAGTGGGCTCACACTATCGAACGGTTCCTGTCCCCAACACGGAACCATACCTAAGGCGTATCTAACTCGATTCTGCTACGGCTGCTGTCAAGATCAAGTCGAGCAAGTGAACAGTTGTGCACGATGTCCTCCGATTGGTCTCAACATCCAGCACAGGGCCCACTGTGGCTCTCGTCACTTGTTTATCAATACATTCGACTCCTCCCAGCTATGTCCCAAGTGCAATACACAAATGTACAATCTGCGTGTTGACTGTGCAAGTTGTCGGGCCTACCATCATTGGACCGTTCGACAGTGCGTGCCCTGTCTAAATCGTGTTCGTGAGCCCCTGGTCCCTCGATATTACCAACCACTGGATAGCCCAAGTTATACATTCAGGGATTAAACCAAAACATGAATGCAACAGAAACAAAAAAGAAAGATCATGAAAATCCTGCCCCCCCCCCCCAAAAAATAAAAATAAAAAAACCTCTTCCAAGAAAGAAAAAGATCAAGAAAAAAAAAACACACAAACACACAAAAAAACAACAAAAAACCCAATAAGACACAAAAAAAAAACAGGAAAAAAAGAAAAAACAGACCCAACAAAAAACACAAAACACAAAATCTAGGGAAGAACGGTGTGCATATGCAATGTGATGGATCTCATTTCTGCAAACCTCCTGTGCAGCGCCCAAAACAACCACCAGGAATTATTTTTTGTGGAGCATGTCTTTCCTGGTTAGCTTGCAAAGCATTTGCCATCTTCCCAAAGAAGGACTTAGTCATCTATCTTTTACAACTTGATTGACTGTGTGCAAAGAGATCTCAACTTTTTGTGGGGGGAGGGGAGGGGGAAACCAGAGGCTTATGATGTTACAACATCAAGATTTCCCCCTTGTGAAGTGTTTTGTTTTCCAGTGCAAAAATCAAGTCCATAAATCTTAAACATTTTTTATCTTTCAAAAGGTTATTCTTGAACATGTTACAATATGCTCTCAATCATTTGTGAATTTGCATGATGATCTCCCCTATTGTGTATCAATTTGTAGTCTTGAAAAGATTGGGATAAGACCAATATTCCCCATAACCTAAAAATGTTTGCAAAAATTAGGTTGGTGCTATGTAACATACTTATATCCTTGTCATGTGATCAATACACCTTGTTGACCATCAATCCATGACTCATTTCATCTTGTCCAATCATCAGAACCCAAGATAAAATTGTTTAATACTGGTGGAAGTCTTGGAGCAATACCTTGAAGTGCAAGAATTGGAACAATCATCAATCTGCACTGTTTGACCCTTAAGAGAGACAAAAAATTATGGGGAGCATATGATCATTATAGCCAGTGCATGCATTCCTACCATTAATTGCCATGGTATGAGATGCAGGCCTTAGCCCTGTCTGTGAAAAAAATGGGAAACAAGTTTCCACCCAACAGCCTTGGTTAGGCTTTTACCCAACTGATCAGTTGTGGGGACCCATTCCAAGCAAAGCTTCTTCTTATATAGCAAAATGGTCCTTGCAATTAATGCAATTGGAACAAATTGGCTAGTCACACAGTTATTGGAAAGAACGAGAGTAGATGAAAGCAAGAAGAAAGAAAACAGAACAGGAAACAGGCACAATGCCATGTATGTACATTGGCCTGACAAGGGAATTGCACACAGCTAGTTTTTCTGTTTGACAACCACAATACCAGCACTACCCATGTCCTTAAGATGGATCCCTGGGCCAATCAAGGCCCTTCTTGTCCCCAATTGGCATCTACAAAAGTCCTGATCCAATCCTGAAAAGCTCACTTCAAGACTCAACAATAGGCAGATAAAGGTCAGAAATCAAATGTCCCAAAGTCAACCAATGAGTTGAGGCCAGGAGCATGGAAAACCATGCAAGGAAATGAACAGTATAGGTCATATTAGGCCTTTAACCTTGATCCAGGGAGTGGAGGGATCCAATGCAGGACAAGCAATTGGCATCCATTCATTCATCAAATTTGTTGGAAAAATAATCAGTGAATGCAATGGGCATGTAAGTGTTGTTCTGGGAATTGAAGAGTTTGAATTGGTTTTGGCTGGTCAGATGGGTCATCAGTAGAGAGGTATGTTTAAAATAAGAATATTGCATGTGTGTTGATCTTACATCCAAACTCTTGTTCTTTGGTGCCGGGTCTGATACCAATGAACTGGGTAATCACACATATTTCTTCTTTGTATGTTCTTGGATTGTGCACCTGATTCTGTGGGACATTAACCATTTGTTGGTGCGGTTTTAGTTACTGACAGAGCCTTGGCAAAGCTTCCCATTTATCATCCTGGTTGAATGATGCTTCAAAAAAAAAATCTTTGAGTGACGGCACTGTTTGCAATTCTGTGTGTCTCATGAGTCTGGACTCTGGCACCCCATGGGCATTACCAGACCCCAATTTTATTATTACCTAAATTTTGACTGACCTCAATCTTCTAATGTTTGAAGTGGAAGATACATTGGGAGAAAATGGTAGTGAGTTAGATTTTTATCCACGTTGCTGTTTTCTTTTTCAGCATTTGAGGTGCCTCTGGAACTACTAGCAACCCAAACAGCATAGAGCTTCAAGAGTGTAGCCCTATCAATGTCTGCTGCATGGTATTGGTCACTCCCCATGCTTTTAAGGGGTGCCCACGGGAGGTTCACAATGTTGAGGATATGGTGATTGCCATGTACAAAGAGTTTCCTGCTGTGCACAAAGTCAATCTGTTGTATTTATTTTACAAATTTTGAAACTGTTACTTTTGTTTTTATCTTTCCATATCTAATTCATTCTTTGGTACCTATTCTGAACCAATTGACTAAGTCTCATGATGACTTCAAGTTTGTCTTATGAAGCTGAGGAATTCATACCAAGCAGCCAATTTTCACTGTCTACCCATTGTTCACATGTGAATCTAATTCCCTTGAGAAAAATGACATTTTTTTCTCTTTTCCAAAATATGTCAACACATTGGAGTGATGAATGTCTTTCCAATAAGAGAGATATCCTTTCTCTCCAAGTTCAACTCATCATATGATTCCATTTCTGTCTTTTTGTGATCATGACAGCTGCAACCACCATACTTTCTATTGGTTGTCCTTTTCATTTGCTTCTTGTTAGATACTGTGCACTTAATGACACAGATGTTGTTCACCACCATAGCTAATAATGCAATCCAGTTATTTGTTAGTGATTGTGGTTTAATACAGATAATCAGCTCTCCATTCAATGTTCTTGACCTCAGACCACAAGCAGATATAGCACTGACTGACTTGTTAGATTCTCAGCATAGGCCATAGAACAGTCTCTTTGACACTTTCTCTCCAAGATCTGTGAACTTCTTTTTAGAATTAGCATCACTTCAAGAAGAAAGGTCTTCTTTGGTTTTTCAAGTGATAATTATCGACTTGATTGCCCACATCAGATCATGATGATTACATGTTAAGCAAGAAGACAAGAAATAAATAAAAAGGATATATCACTGTTTTAAAATCTTGATTGGACTTATTTTGTTTGAAGGTATATGGAATCATGTCCCTTTGGTCTTATTATATTATGGCATGTTTTTCTTTGGAAGAGTAAATTAACTGTTGCTGGGTTCTCAGGAGCAAATGAGGTGAATAGTTTACCATTGGACGTCAGGGAAACGCTTGTGCGCTTTACCAAGCGCACTGATTGACCTATTGGTGATGGATAGACACGACACGCGGATGAGGAACAAAGAGGATACAATGAAGCAAGGAGAGAAGGGTGGGACAAACCAGGCGAATTTGTAGTGCGGGTAGGTGACCGAAGTGGTCTTGTTGAAGACGCCCTCGATGGCCCCATCGAGCCACTGGCCGTCGGCGGTCTGGCGGGAGATGATCAGCCGACAGGCTCGTTGGATGGGCTCAGGCTCAGGGTACTTGGCCGCGAGGAGAGCAAGGACGGCCCAGGCGGTCTGGAAGACCTGCGAAGTCTGGTGGTGGATATAGACCCCTTGTTCGCACGACTTTCCGAAGCACGTTTGCCAACAAAGAAAGGGAAATGGGTTGTTTTTGTCAATCACTTCTGCTCGTGTTTCTGTAACCCCTCAAAAGAAGCGGTTGCTCTCCAAGCGAACGAGATGTGAACAGGAGCCTTGTTTTACCTTGAAACTTTCACCCCAGCCACCGTCATCCATCTGTCGATCAAGCAAGAACCGACAGGCCTTCTTGACTAAGAGGCTGTTTTTGTAAGTTTCGTTATTCAGTGACAAGGATTCGAGTGCAAACATGGTTGCGTAGGTGAAGCTATCCGGCCGACAACCCACTCTAGCTAATTAGTAATTGGAACGGTAGTTCTGAACAGCCGAGTGAGCTTGAGCTCACCATACTCCCCAAGAACCATACCACGAGCCATCGTCGCGCTGTGCTGAATGAATAAACTTGATTGCCGCTTGGCGCGCCCGACTAGAGCGTGGTCAAAGTCAGCAACCCAGTGAGAGAAAGAGATAGATTCATGTGGGGAGCAGATGGAAATAAGGACCTGATTTCTGGTGCACGGTAGTCAGGATAGTATTGACTGAACAAGCTCATTGCTGTCAAGCAAGCCGTTGTACATTCTGGATAATTGACCCTGTGAGTAAGCGGCAATGAAGACAACAACAACCAAAAGAATCCAGGTGAGTCGTGGGGGTTGATAAATGGGAATAAACAGATTTGGTAAATCACTCAATCATCGTCTTGCCGAACACCTCAGCTGGACTCAAGTATTCGAGCCAGCTGGGGCCGCGGATGAGCTCGTAGGAAGCGAACCCTCCGTTGGGATTTTGGAGGCTCAGGATGACATCGACAGCGAGGCAGAGCCGTTCTTTAGAGATGAGCTTTGGAGTATAGCTACAGGGTAAGATTGTTTTTCACAGGAGGTTAGCAATCCAGATTCATATTCTCCAAAAAAGTTTAAAAAGGAGTCAATCTACCTCAGCTCCTCCTGAAGACAAAGGACCGATTTGAGTGCCTCAGCCGTGCAGTCACTGACGGTGTAACTCTGGCTTTTAGTGCTGAACGGCCAAGCCCCTTTGCTCTGATGACGATAGCCTGACTTGAAGTGCTAGGAAGCGGAAAACCGATCGAGTGTGCAATCAGTGTGACAGGCCGAAGATCCATTCAACAAATCACTCACCTTGGGATTCTCCAAGATCTGGCACCGGTCGATCCACTGAAGGGCTCTGATGACTGAGTCTTGGGTGGAAGGCTCCTCTGTCTTGGCCAGTCCAGACTCGACGAGGGCCTGGGTGATGAAACCAAGGTCCCAGAGCTGAGATCCGTTGGTCGCCGACATGCCCATTCCGTCCCTTTTCGGATGTGAAGTGTAAGGGCGCTCAGCCTAGGTTTTGATAGACGAAGACTAATCGAGACCCACACACTTGTTCATCCACATGAAGTTCTTTAGCTTCAGTTGGTGCCGGCGCAACTCGTCGCTCTCTGGCCCGTACCGGTCCCAACATACGATCAGATTCAACACCTTATTGACCGGAGCCAGGTCGTTGAAATCCGTATTTTCATCCTCCATCTTGCACAGCTCATGGGCACGGTTCTGTGCGCGTCGGGCAGAAAAGATAAATTTTGAGAATCACGCCCGGGTTTACGGGGGCTTATCAGGAGGGGGAAGAAATAGACTGACCAGTCCGAGATTTCTGATCGAGCTCGGGCAGATCTTCTCCCAATACCCGAGGATCCAGAATAAGCCATTGGCGATTGGATGGCGCGGACTGTAGAGATCCTCCTTGGCAATGAGGTTCCGACATCGGGGCCAATCGATAGACTCGTATGGTTGCGTATAGAGCTCTTTCCTAAGAGAGTCCAGGGTGGGATCGGACTGGGCTTGGAGCCGTTTTCCGCACAGATAACTGATCGGCAGATAGACCTGCCGACTGTGGACCCACCATCTCCAGGGATGTAACGGAAGTATTTCAGGCAGCAGCCACAGCTCTGGCGGGACTGGGTTCACTCCTTCCCAACTGCGCAGTTGAATAATGTCAGAGGGGAGTGACTAATACAAGTCTGACAGGTATTTACATACTCATATACACCCAGAAGCGCTAGCCAAACCTTGCCCCAAGTAGGAATCCCCGTCGCACCGCCTTAGGTATTCGATCCAACCGACCAGATCGTAATGAGACCCAGAAGAATGGAATGGAGGGTGAAGATGAGATGAAAGAACGCACCGAGAGCATGTAGCGTAGCGCGAGCTCGTACCATCATCGTATGCTCGGCATCTATGCCGAGCAGTCGGCAAGCCACGTAGTTTAGCACAGTACCGAAGACGGTCGACTTGCCGGCGGTATGACTGTTGAGGATGTCCAAAGAAGTCAGCCAAAGCTCCGAAGGCAGGAACAAGGATTGATACCTACAGACCCCAACCTCGGTCACGGACGTTCTGTCCCTGCCGTTGGTCATTGGCGAATCGGCGGGCTAGCTCGATTTTGACCTCCTCGGCCAGTGGGGTTTTGGTGATATAGCAGGCGATCACCATTCCTGAATGAGGACAGATTATCCCGGTTACTCCAAAGTCAATGAACCAGATCCGAAGGGACGGAGGACTAACCAGGAGTCAGGAAGAGTGGCCCTGTGGGGATGGTCGAATGGAGGACGCAGAACAGAAATGGTATCAACTCTCAGGCATACTCTGCCTGATTTTAGAGCCAAACCGGACCCACCACTAAACTCGCCGCTGGGTACAATAATCAAACATCGATTCAGTCGCCCATCTCACCATCAGAAGTAGGATAGTTTCGGGCGGCCTCTAACGCACCTCCAATGTCCATCGGGCATCTGCAACTTCTTGTAGAACTCAAAACCATTTTTAGCAGCCTGGAGTGGGTCTCCTTCGGGGTCGGGTAGGGCGGGAGATTTCTGAGGAGATTGACAGAGGAATCGAACAGGAAAAAAGGCGCGTGAATGTGGAAGATCGATATTGAAAGGATTGAAATTCGAGAGGGGAGACAAAACGGACCGAATGTCTGGAGAGCCAGTATTTACTTTGGAAGCTCTGCGCGCCAAGGTTTCTATCTGGGGAGGAGTCGTAGGTCCACACCGCCTGATCTTCATCAGGCACCGGTTGGAGGTGCCAGCGGGAGGGGTCGGTCGAGCCCAGCGGGCCGGCCCACGAAGGCTTGGGATTGTTTGTCATGAATGAGCTGGGCACAGCGGCTCTGGTGCCCTCGGGGGTCGTTTTACTGATAGTGGGCGAAGGATATCCTCTGGTGGGTCGGTTGGGTCGATCGGAGTCCGGACAAGGGTCTGCTGGTGGGTTTGTAGGCTCTGGATAATCAAAAAAATAGTCAGCGATCGAGTGGGTTGGTGAACTTGGGTGAGAAGGTCTGTATGCCATCACGTCTTAACAGCTGGCTATAGACAGTCTTTCCCCCAATCAATCACAGTTCCCCAACCTGGGGGTGCAGATTGCTTGAACGATGTGATTCGCGAAAACATGTATGTAGACACTCAGGAGTACTGCAGACACCGACCTTAATAGTTCACCTATGGAGAGGAGGTCTCAATTTCCACAACGACACCGACGACGACGATCTATCCACTGTTTTTTGTTTGCAATTCGCAAGGGTATCTGTTGGAGAAAGTAACGCTGAGTCAGTAACTTGCGATACTGCATGAGGATTCTTGTCCCACTTACACTTGTTCACAGGTGAATCCAACTGAGTTGCATTCGCAGCAGAGTTCGATGAAATGGCTTCCGGTCAAGCTGTCACTCACACACCACCACCTGGATCTCAAAGGGATTTGGATATGTTAAACTTGCAGCAAATAATAACCTACATAAATAATACATGAATTAATAGAGTTGCTCTCACAATTTCCTCGAAACAACACATCCCAGACAGGGAACTAGCTTAACACAATGATGGAATGCGAAGACAGAGAAGGCAAAAGCTATGTGTAACATTGCATGTAGATGAACCGGAAAGTTTATATACATGCTCTAGAGGGGGCTAGGTGAGAACCCCCTGTAACCCCATACTGGGTTACATCACTCCCCCCTCACCTAGCCACCATCCATAAGTCTCCCCCGAAAATGTTTGAAGGGATCTCTGGATAGCGCTTTGGTGAGGATATCTGCTAGCTGTTCCTTTGTAGGTACCCAGACTAGTTCAGTTTTCTTTTCATGAAGGGCCTGATTTGTGAGGTAAAACTCTCGATCGACGTGTCGAACACGTTTATTAGCTGAGTCATCGACGCTTACCCTAATCGCTGCCTGATTGTCACAGTGTAATAAACCTGTGAAACTTTCTTTGAGGATATCGTTGATTAGATGGCGGACCCAGAGTACTTGTCGAGTACCTACGCCGAGGGCCATGTATTCAGCTTGACAGGTTGATGAAGCTATGGTGGCAAAGCGGCGTGAGGTCCATAGTACTGGACATCCAAAAAAGGTGACAACAACTCCGTACGTTGATTTAGCAAATTCTCCCCCCCATGAAGCGTCACAAAAACACTTGAGTGGTTTGGGGAGGTCGTCTGGGAAAAGATTAAGCTGTATATTAGCAGAATCGGCAATGTATCCAATTAAGTGTCGAACCCCTTTCCAGTGGTTCACCCCTGGCTTGGCTGAGAATCTTGCCAAAAGGTTGACTGCGAATGCGATGTCGGGTCTGCTCCCCACTGCGAGATAACTCAAGGAACCTATCATAGAAAGATAGTCAGTGGATTGAGAAGGGTCTCCGTCATGGTCAGTAACAAGTTGCAGATTAGCGGGTAGAGGTGTTTTGTGTTTGGTGATACCATCCCAGTGTGTGTCGAGAACCTGTTCAATCAGCTTAGGTTGTCTCAAACTGAAACCTCTAGAGCTACGCTTGATTTCCAGACCCACGATGGAGTCTAGTCCTTTGGACCATTTTATCTTTAGCATACCTTTAAGGCCGTCTTCCAGAGCTTTGATTAGTTCTGTTGAAGATCCTGTGACCACCCCGTCATCCACGTGTACCCACACTACACCTTTTCTTCCTTTGTGTTTGACCGTGTAGAGACTGTTATTGTATTGGCTAGCTTCGAAACCGAGTTTCTCCAAAACACCCTTAAGGTGTAGCCACCAGCAGCGAGCCGCCTGCTTCGTCCCGTAGAGGGCCTTGTGAAGTAGCATGGCTTCGCCAGGTTTCACCGCCAAGCCTTCTGGGGCCTCCACCCACACCTCTTCATCGATGGGTGCGTTGAGGTACGCTGCTACAAAATCAAATGAAAAAACTTGCCAGTTGAACTTCGCCGCCATTGTTAGTATTAGCCGCATTGAGACAAAAGTTGCCGTGGGCGCGAACGTTGACTCATAGTCCAGACCTATCACCTGTGTAAAACCCTTCGCGACGAAACGGGCTTTAAAACGAATTGTTTCCCCGGCGTCATTGGTTTTCTCCGCGAACACCCATCGGCCTTTCAATGGCCTGCGGCCCGGCGGCACTGGTCGAGCGGACCAAACCTTCATAGCATTGAGATTCTCAAGCTCCTCCGCGATTGCCGCTTTCCAGTTTGCCCAGCATAGTGATTTCTGTGCCTGTTTATAGGTTCTTGGAACTGATGCTGCAAAAAAGGTACAATCTAGCAGAATCTGGTCAATCATTAATTCCTGCCCTTCAAAAACAAAATTGTCAGTGAAAACACCCAGTTCCATTTGGTTGATCACAAAATTCAGATCATGTTTCGCCGAGCTTTTTACAACAGTCTTGGGTTTTGAGGTTGCCGAGGGGTCATGGTCAGCAGCAGGGGAAAGATCTGATGAGATGGGTAAGTCTGACACGGGAACATTACTTGGTTTTACAGGTTTTTTTTGGCGCAATTGAGTGGGCCTTTTCGATTCCCAGTCAACCACAGCGGCCGCGACAAGCTCGTGGGTGTCCTTCAGGAAAAAAATCCAACCCTTGCTGTCATCACAGTGGGCCACGACTCTTCCTTCCAGACCCCGCTCGTCGAGTTTCTTCCGTTGTTCCTTGGGCACATGAATGAAACCTTTCTCGCCAAAAATCTTTGCCCTGTCAGTCGACGGTTTGAAGCCATAGAAAGCCTCGAAAGGAGTGATGGATCCGCTGTGTTTGTTTGGAAGAGTGTTGAGGATGTTGCAGGCCCAGATGAAAGTGAAACCCCAGAACTGCTTGCCCATCTTGCTGTCGATTAAGATTGTCCTGCCCATGTCTGCTAGCATCCTATTGAAACGCTCTATGATACCGTTCTGATAGTGATGATATGGTAGGGCCCGTTCCGCCTTGATGCCTTTGTGTAAAATGAAATCTGTTAGCACATCGCTTGAGAACTCTCCACCATTATCCGTCCGAATGCATTTCATGGAGGCAGACAACTGCTTCTCCCACCGTAGGACGGTCTCAATTAGTAGGCCACATGCTTGCGATTTCTCCCTCATCACCTTAGCCTCACTGAAACCGGTTGCAAGATCCCGAACTGTCAGCAGATATTTCCCGTGATTGAAAGTTTCCACCTCGAAAGGACCAACGATATCCGCTGTAACTACTTCTAACTTAGAAATCGATCTGTCAGTCGAAGAAAGTCTATTTTTGTTGAGGCTCTTACTCCTGGCGCAGATGTCGCATTTGATCTCCCCTTTCAGAAGTGAAAGGGGAAGATCTTTGCAAAGTTTTTCCTGGATTATTTGTCGGATTCGTGATAGACTTGCATGTCCAAAAAACCTGTGCCAATAGAATAATACTTCTTCATTTTGAGAGCAACTGTTAGCAGCAACTGTTTCCTCTTTTTCAGGGACGTTCAAAGGTGTCACAAAAGCATTTCTCCTCAAATCAACTCTCAGCTCGGTTGATATGGGACAGAATGATGGCTTGTTATCTTGTTTGAAGTCAGAATCAGATTGCATGTTACGGCAGAAAACAGAAACATTGGGAGAAGACACAACACGATGAGAAGGAGGAATGGGTTTCGGAAAGATCCACTTGTTTTGCGAGGGGATGAAAGGACATCTGAAACAGAGGACATGTTTGTCTGAGTAGATAAGGTAACAATCCTGCGCCACGTCATATGTGAAGTAGGCGTTAGCTTTGCGCAAAGCAGCAAGGGATATGAGAGTAGAGCGTGCGCGCTCACAATATAGCACCCCATGGATGGTAACCTGTTGGTTATCGAGTCCCGAGAACGTGAGGTCACCCTCGCCAGTAATGTATGCTGGACTGCCAGAAGTGGCGACTTTTAAAGGAATAGGCGGAGAAAAGCGACGGAAATTAGAAAATAGTTTGAAATCACCACATAGATGGTGTGACGCACCAGAGTCAACAATTGGCGCGTCGGCCCCAGGGCTTGCTTGGATGTGGTCAAAACGCACATTAGCCAAATCGTCAGCCACATCTCCCAGCTCGACCATCCTGGCCGTAGACTCTTCCAGCGGGGAGTTGTCCGCATCCGCTTCATTGGCGGACGGTCTCGACCGTTGTGTCCCAATGGACTCGGCTTGTGTGTTGGGGCGTTGGTTCCTGTACTGTGGGGGCCGGTAATAGTCGGCTGGGCAACTTTGGGAGGCGAGGGACGGATTGTTGAGGGGCTGTGGTTGCTGTTGACGAGGGTGGAGTGTTTGAGGGTAGACGCCTGTAAAACCCGGGGGGGTCACAATCGGATAGAACGATTGAAACCCCTGTGGTGCATAGCTTGACGTTTGAGAGGGCGCCCGAGTCTGGTTGGTCGCTTGTCGCAGAGCAAAACGGTTGCTGGGTGGACGTCGAGCCCGCATCGGGCAGTCTCTGAGCATGTGATCCGGTGCTCGACATTGCCAACACAGACCCACCTGCATTGCCATGAATTCATGCGCATTGGGTGTGTTGTTGGGGTGTTGGGTTGGCATGAAAGGCGGGGGGTTGTTTAAAGGCGCTGCGTGTAGAGGTGTGGGCGCTTCGACTTGCATTGCTAGGGGTGTGGTCCGCTGTGTGGGCACTCTGGCTGTGCTTTGGAGACGATTTGACGACGTATCATGTCGATCAGGCGGATCATCTGTTCAAAATTCATCGGTGGGTTTTGTGGTGTCGAGGTTTGAAGATCCTTCTTGACACGGCGATCAAATTCAGTCTGGAGATCAGGTTCGGATGCTAATCCGTTTTGAAGTACCAGACCGGCTAGATGGTCCCGGGTGAAAGACATTCGAATGGTCTCCATTTTGTCGAGGATGTCTCCGATGTGAGAGGCAACGCTGGCGGTCGTTGGATGGCTGCTGACGTCAAACGCAATGAGTCGGCGGAAAAGGTCCAACTGTGCTGCTCGACTGACTGAGTGGAAACGGACCCTAATGTCTTGCCACATGTGGTGCGCCGTTGCATGTCTTGCGAGACCTCGCCGGAATGATCGGTCCACCGACGTGAGCAACAGAGAGCGGCCAATTCGTTCATGTACTGGATCCACGGCGGGGAAATGAAAAAACAGTGGTTCATTGATGGCGTCGCGGATTCGTTTGTCGATGAAATCTTGCCATGTTGCGAAATTGGAGCCGTCTGGCCGGAGGCGATCATCATCATGTATCTGATTCGACACCGCTCCGATAATTGCCGCTATGTGCCTGTTGCGTTCGGCTTCATTTTGTTGGATGATAGGTGCGGCATGATGAGGTGGTGGATCACGGTGCCGACGGTTGTGTCTGCGGTCCGGTGTGTCGATTGCAGCTGGTCGTTGTCCTGCGACGGGATGTGGTGCAGGCTGATTTGGTGGGTGCACAGCTGGTTGGACTGCCGGCGGTGGGGCTTGGGGCGGGTGAGCTACTGGAGGTTGATTGGGTATGGGAGGGTCCGCAGGAGCGTCATTCGGTGGTGGTTGATTGTGTTGAGGGGCAACGGGGGGTTGATTATGGGCAGGGACGTTGTTGTTCATGGCAAGGTAGATTGAAAAGGGAAACGGAAAATGGAAAGCAGGGAAAATGGTGGAAGAAGGTAGATAATAATGAAGAGGGAAAAGGGGAAAAAAAAACGGGGAAGAATAGTGAAGACGCAGGTGAGGAAACGGATCAATGAAAAAAGGTTTAGGGAAGGAAAAAACGAGAAAAAACCTGGAGAGAATACGGTATGGATAAACAAAGAACAGGGTTTTAAAAAAAAAGGAAAAAATTTAGTGAGGTGGATATGGGATAAGGTTGAGGATAGAAGAACGTAGTAAGGAAAGCACAAGGAAAACAAAGTAATAATGATTTGGGTAGACCAATCGATGATGTACTTATTGTCTAACTTTACGCCTATTCAGCCCCAGACTCCAGCGTCCCAGAGTTGGATATACTTCTGAGTGCGACTCGGAAGTAGCTTAATCAGCTGTAGAAGTATTGACAAGAGTAATGACTAGTCGATGGTGATATCGGTAGGAGAACGTAGATTGTGAAGTTGATATATAGAAGTATAATCAAGATCAGAGATGCAAACAAACAAAGTTTCTTTTTTTTTTTGTTGGTGAGCGGGTCGATTACGCTCTACGCTGAGCTACCCAGTATATTCAAGTATTGTTGTGACAAAAACAGGTCGATTACGCTCTACTCTGAGCTACCTAGTGTGATAAGCGAGAACTTTGAAGGTGCTCATAACCTGATGGAATGCGAAGACAGAGAAGGCAAAAGCTATGTGTAACATTGCATGTAGATGAACCGGAAAGTTTATATACATGCTCTAGAGGGGGCTAGGTGAGAACCCCCTGTAACCCCATACTGGGTTACATCACACAATCCCCTCCCTCGTATCAGAGGGCCGGTTGAGTCCGAGCCACAGCCTGGGAGCTTGGGCTTTTGGTGGCTTTTGCTACCCCTTTGACACTCAAAGGCCAATAACTCTCAACCCATCAGTTCAATTTAAAATATTTCAGCAAAATTTTTATGTGAAACCAGCAGAGCACTTTGAGTTTGCAGGCATAAAGTTGGCCTGCACGTCTGCCAATTTTTGAACTTTTTTGAAACCAGCAAGCAGGAATTTTATCCAAAATCAACAAGATTTCATTCAAATGTGAACCGTCCTAGTTGGGATGCTTTGAGCTTCCCAAAATAGGAAAACATCTTGGGTGTGATCCTGTAATTTTTTTAGCCAGGTTTTTAGTGTACAATGGAGGACTTCCCGTCAACATCTGCGGGTCTCCCACAGCCAATTTAGAGCCTCAAATTTCAAATTTCTCTGCAAGAATCAAGAATTTTAGGGTCTAGATCCACTTCTGCGAGGGTCCTAGATCTGACGGGAAGTCCTCCAATGGCTGACTTCCCGTCAACATCTGTGGGTCTCCTAGTTTTGATTTAGAGCCGCAAAAGCTAGATTTCCCTGCAAAAATGTAGACTTTTAGGGTCTAAAATTAGAACTGCAAGGGTCCCAGATCCGACGGGAAGTCCTTCAATATTCCATCCCTTGGATGGCAATGAGAGACTTGATAGTAACATACAGGAGCAAAGCAGGGGAAGATTGTGGAATACACCTGAAGGGACTTGAATTTGATCATCAAACTTATTGCAAAATATCAGTTTTGAAGGTCTGGACTCTGATAATGAGAATTCTAGAAGGTGAAAGAATTTGAAGACTAAAGGTTTCATTTCTTTTATAAGTAAAGTGTTTTATGAAGAAAATACAATCAAATAACTTTTATAAAAAGATAAAATAAAATGAAGTTATTACCTAAAGGCAGAATAACAGTCTGCGAGAGTAATAACAATTATAAAGGATAAAACTATTGTGGTTTGTTGAATAACAGCGATGATAAACTGAAAATCATAAAAACAAACTTAATTAGTTTTTATTCGATTTATTATTTTCTTTTTAAGTCAAGAATATTTAATAAAAATTAATTTACGATGATTGAATCAAAAGATCCGGTAAAGCTAATTTTATGCTGAAGATTTGTTCTTGCTTGTTAAATCTAAATTGTTGTTTAAAGTAGAAAACATTAATCAATGTTCTCTTATTAGTTAACAATCTCTTTCCTTATTATTAAGGAAAGGCTTTTGCTCACCGGTCTTCGGTGGTGAGATGCGATCGATAAGTTGAATACAACTTGCGGAGGATTGATAATTACTGTAGATGATTGATGTTTAGGAGAGAAGAATTAGATCGTCAACGATCATTTTCTCATTCCTTTTGATCACAATCATCAGCACTCACTTAGAGTTCGATGATCGATGATCATCATCATCTAGAGTAATGACATCATTGATGTCCTCTCCTTGATCACAAGCTTTAAGCTTGGCAATTGCATGCTCCTCTACAGAACAGCTTAATTCTATACATGATCAAACATTATTGATCAGTATGCGTATTCTCTAGGAAGTTTATACATTAAATTATAACTTACCTGAAACTCTCCTCTTTCAAGGGCTAGGCTTAGGAATCGAATTCCAACAGAAGGCCCCTGGCCTGGTGTGTTGCACAGAAAAAACAAGAACATCAAGTGTCAAGGCCTTTTGCCTGGTCAACTTGGACAGATGCATTTTTGAATTGAAGAAATAAGAAGAGGAGGGTACCAATACCTTCACTAGACACATATATTTCATACACAGATGAGATAGACCAAATGGTAATAACCAGATATTGGAAAAGCATGTTTAGGATTTAGGTGTTGAAAAATAGGAAAGAATTGGCTTCAGGAAGAATAGAAAAACTTTGGGGTCACTGCCAGTTGGTTTCAGGTAGACTGGTGTGGGAAAATCTGGAAACATTGGAGTCCATCCTTTATAGATTAGTTCCCCCAGGCAAGGCCAAAGCTGTTTCTTTCTGATCTGAAGCAGAGACACTAGGGGTGCATTCTTACCTGCACAATTAGCACAAATGATTCAAGAAAATTTTCAACACATATTCCTGATACCAATCTATCACTTCCTAAGGATAGAACTTCATGAAAAATAGCTTTGAGCAAGACAAATCCTGCAGGAATATTCTTGTAATGTCATTGCTTCAAAAATTGATCAGTGGGAGGGTGGTTTCAAGATTAAACCACCTCACTTGTGTTGCCTAACTTGCAGCAAGTCCAGTGCTTCTGCGGACCTGGTGTACCCAGGCTGCCTGGCATCACTTGCAAAGCAAGCCTATGAAAGAGGGAATTGTGCCCAATACACACATACATGCATGTTGCTATCAAACATTTGTGGTATAGCAGATTTTGGATTGGTCACCCTGAATGTAGATCAACACATTTGCCATTTTTGAATTTGAAAATTTTGTTTTTCTCCATATTCAATTTTCAGATATTATGTCTGGAGATTGGATGAGCTAGGATTTTTCAAAAACATGAGAAAAATTGGAAAATAGGCACCAAATCAAAGTTGAACTTTGGTGGGGCAGTAAATGAACAGTCAAACTACACGCACACATGAGCTGAGGTTTGAAAATGCCTCTAGAATCACCCAGCTATTGACTTTTTCATTTTTCCTTGATGAGATCTGTGTTGCTCGTCTTGGGCACACCGGCCAGCCCCAAAATTTTGGTTGGATGAAATCATGTTGGTGATTTTTTAATATTTTTGGGGCAAAAAAACAACCAGAAAACATATTTGTGACATGAAAGGGTGCTTGCTTTGGGCACAAGCCTCTACTGCACTTTGTGCATTCAAAAGAGAGGCTGAGCAAGCTAGTTTTATGGCCTGAATGAAACTTAATACAAGCCCAGTCCTTCTCTGATTGGATGTTGCAAAGCAATCCTCTGAAGGAGGGACTTGCATCCTCAAAAATAATCACTGGGTCAGCTGGATGCAATGTTTTGGTAGTGGAAACTTTGTTTGCCCCACCATCTTTAGGCCCTGTTTGTTAGCACAGCATAGCAGTGTATTTAATATGTGGAATCCCACAAAATTTGACGGGATTTGAGTGGATTTCACACTTATTATGCTTGTATACAACACTGACTAAATCTAATTTGCCTCTCTGAATTTGGAGGGGGGGGGGGTCCCACTGGGACTCTCCAAAGGAGGAACTTTGAAACTTGTAACCAAAAGTTTCAGTTTGATGCCAGTTCATCTGTATTTTGTTCTGGCTCACATCACAGTTGAACTCAAATTATCTTCAGCTGCCGGTGGTTTGGATTGATCAATCTTCCTCAACCACAATGGAAGCCAATCAGACAGCGACTTACAATTCATCAAATTCAGGCTCTGATGACTCACCTTACAACTCAGACCCTGAGAATCCAGTGAGTGAGGATGAAACTCAATTTGAAGGTCAAACTATAGCTTCTGAAGATTTTGTAAGGGACATAGTTGAGCGTCTCCTATGTGAAGGCCATAAAGGACCAAAGATTTGTTAGATCCTGCAAGAGGAGCATGGGATCTCAATGTCTGCAAGCACTCTAACTCGCAGGCAACAAACCTTGGGCCTGAGACTGCTTGAAATACAAAAACCCGCCCAACCTGCCCTACTACCTCATATACAAGCATCTCTCCTGTCCTCCCATGCCAAAGGTTTAAATTTGCAAGAAATCCAAGCCAGACTTGCCAAGGAGACAGGTATTGTAGTTTGCAAGAGATACTTGCACCAACTCTGAGTCAAATTGAATGTGAATGACCTGGATCTTGGTAATGTGACACTGACTCAAATATATGAAGCCATCAACCATATCCAGAGGTTTTTACTACACAACTAAAGAATCAGGATTCCCAGGTCGGTCATCTTTTGATCTCAATCCAGCTAGTGAAGGGAAATAAATAGCTACTTGCCTTGTATTTCCATCCATCCATCCCAAATATTAGACAAATTGTCTACAATGTCATTCAAGACATGGACCCCAAAGCAATGACTGCAAGGCTCAGACAGACCTGCAAATGCCGTGTCTGCCCCACCTACGGCCCAAATCATGTTTGGTCGATTGACGGGCATGATAAACTCAAACGATTTGGAATAACTGTATATGGATTTATCAATGCCTGGTCTTGCAAGATATTGGGCCTTTATGTATATGTGACCAATAATGATCCCCGTCACATTGGGGTTTACTTTCTCAGTTTGGTCTCAAAACTTGGCAAGGTCCCACTCAAAGTCACTGCTGAATATGGGACAGAAACTGGTGATGTGAGCTTTTACCAGATCAAGCTGTCCCATTGGTTTGGAGGAATTACCCTGGAAGAAGCATCAAGACAAATGCATCACACCAAATCAACACACAATCAAAAAATTGAGGCACTCTGCTCTCAAATGATGAGGCAGCACAATCAATCAATAATCGATCACATTTGGAGTGCTATTGAGAGTGGTTCATATAACCATGATGATCCAATTGAAAAGTTAGCACAGATGTACTGGGAATTTTTTGAAGCGTGCCCAGCTGACCATTCATCACAGACTCCTCTTCCTTTTCCTTTGGGTACCAGTTCTTCAGGAAAGTGTAGATATTTGGGTTGATCTTAAAAATAACACACAAAAACAAAGAGATAATAGTATTACCTAGCCAACTGGTTGTTCACCGGAGTTCTCCTACAGCACACCAGAGTACTTTGAAGCAGTTGATCAACTTTTTCCTGTTGATAAAGATGAAGCTCAAGAGTATTTGCAAGAAGATTACCCTGATTTAGATGTGATGTTTGCCCATATACCTGCATGGTTCCACACTATTGCTTCCGTAATTATGGGCAATCTTGGGTTTCAATTTCATCAAATTACTGTTGGCAGTGTGTGGGATGTCTTTCACTATATGCTACCACCAATCAAGGCACACTTCTTACAATTTCCCGCTCCTCTTGTTGACCTTCTTGATAGTGATCTTGGGATCAATAACACTGAAGATAGCCAGTACTTTTTTTTTATTTCCTCTGAATTTCCTCCTCAAACTTGTCTTGGGAATAAATTTGATTTGATCCTGCTTGAAGACAATTCATACAATTTCTCCCCTAGTTACTTTTCTCTCAAAATTTCAGAGGGCAGTCAGACTGGTCATGTTGTTTGATTTGAATCCTTAAGGTCAGCTTCCCTTGAGATTCAGATTTTTGGGTGTTTCATCAAATGAACCATTGAGATTGTTCAATCTCAGTATTCCAGATGCACATCACAAATGAAGAGAGAAAATGAATTGGAGGAACAAGCATTGTAGGTAGATAAACTTAACTAACTCAATTGGTCAGTATAGTATGAACGTATTAGATAACACAGACTCTGATTATAACTGGATACGCCTGGCCGCCGCACGCGTATGACCACACAGACAACCAGTCATGAATCCCAGGCCGGTCCAGTCAGGCCGACGGTCCGCCGTACCCATGGGAATGGTGGCCGACTCCCTGCTGGCCCACAAAGGGGTCCTTCTACCACTTTGGCATCCGCAACCGTCCAGAGGACCTCGCGAACAAGACCTGGTGAGAATGATTCGTCTCTGATCCATTATCAGTTTCCTGGATAGTGACATGATATTTCATACAATTTGTAGCCAACCTCCCACCACTTCCGAGCAGGCTTCGGATGACGCCGTCAGCCACACGGTCAGCTACTCGTGGAACTCGTGGAGGAAATGTACATAGATCAACCTCAACCAACCAGTGCTGGGTCTAACGTGCAGGCTGATTGGCCACCGGGCTCTGTCAATTTGAGCATTGAAAACGAGCCAATCAATGATGAGTTTGTCTCTGAGGTGGATGCAATTTTTCAGTTGGGAGGGTTGTATGCGGATCTGGGTGAACAACTGGCATATGTATGTACTGTACATCCTCAAATTATTTATTCTTGCCACATCAATGGTGACCCTGACCCAAATGACCCAGGTACCAAGACAATATGTCATTGGAATGTATGCCATCTTATCAGTCAGGCAAGCCATTGAACAGCTCCGTCAAGATGTCCTCACCATCCCTCGTGCTCCAGGAGTGGCGTCAGCAGCAATGCCCATGGCAGTCCAGGCTCGCAACTTCCACTATGTGGCAGTATTTAGAGTACGTCTGACATACCCCAGCTGCACTTGCTCTTACACCCAGCTGAACAAATCCATCTAGAACTTTGTTACCCGACAAGCCCGAGAGCTCTTGATGAGCCGAAATTTGGGCGTCTACAGTTCTGACACACCTCGGGGGGCTCCCAGGAAGGCAAGAGGCCTCCTCACTTTGGTCCTGGTGGGCCTATCTCTTTTGTTCCTAAATCTTTTTGAAACTCACTCAGATGTTGATTGACCACTTCAGGAAAAGATTAATGCTCAGAATGACCAGTTCAAGAGCAGTTACCTGCCACGCGGATATTCTGATCCTGATCCCGCTGCTCAAGGCAGTGTTGACACCTATGTACGAGGCAAACTCAGGAACAGCCGAGGGAAGATGAGGGACTTGGTGAGCTCAAGTTCTGAAATCATGTGATTGTGTATAGCTAACAACCAACTTTTTTTCAGCTCCTCACAAACATTGATATGGAATCTGAGGTTGCAGTTCCAACAATTTCTGCCCTCTTGGGTTTGGTAAGCAACAGCTCCCCCCTGTCCATAAAGAGTGGTGTCCCATCTGATCCTCATTTTCACTTCTGTGATTCTACAGATGAGGTCTAGTTTGACCCCACCGCTCCCCAACAGTGCACCAGCAACAGACACCACGGACAAAGGGCGGAGGGAACTTGCCCTTTTGAAGGCTCGGTTGGCTTATCTGCGACTCCAACAATAATATATTACCTACGCCAAGGGGGGGAATCCGGTCGGTCAATGGAAGAACATTGATGAACACTTGCGTGACTTGTCCTTTAAGAGTTGCGAATACCGATCAGCGTGAGTATCATTTTTGACTTGACCATTCATCAGATCATTGATGTATTGGTGCTTTCACCATTTGCTTGAGACAGTTTTTATCAGTTGGTGACCAGATATGATCGCGAACTTTTTTGTGGTGAGGTGTTTTCCCAACATCAATCGTGATTCCATTGTCCTCCCGACACACGAGGATATTGAGGCTCTTGTGCACTGCATCTGTGGACACTGAAGCCGTAGGAGATCCAGGGGAGGGTGTCTAAAGAATCCACTTGGTTTGTTTCACCTTTTTTTCTCTTGTACATAGTGGTTGTTTCTCTTTCCGGCAGGTTTGCACTGGTGCATTCCTCAATCAGATTGTTGTAGGCTTTTTGTTGTTGTTCTAAATGCCCAATCAGATGTTTCAGCAAAACATACGATTTCACTATTTGATAGACTGTTTGCTGGTGGATGTGCATGCATATGGGCTGCACAATTGCCTCAAGGAGGGTATTTTTTTGCCCAAAAGATGTTGCAATGATGTCTGGGTGACAGCTCAGGGACAGCACTTTCCATGGTCTTCTGAAAGTATTATTCTGCAGGGGATGGCCCTGAAATGCCTCCTAGGCATCCATAGGATGTAGTGGGGGGACGTCACATGGACGCTCCACCAAGACGTCCCAGGGCTGGCCTTTTATTTTGGGAGGAGCATGCCCCTGGGATGCTCTAATATGTGGGGGCAGCTGTCCTGGTGCCATCCCCCTGCAACCTGCCACTTGGACGTCCAAGTGCACTGGGGGTGTAGCGGCAGTCCTTCCGCAGCAACAACTAATCCAAACCAATTACAACTACTTTAGAAGCCGCAGCAACAACAGGATCCAATCCATCAGATCATCAGCCAGTCACAAGTATCTGATTTTAGACGTACTATGACTGAATAATTGACTCCATAGGCCAACCTTACTGGTATGTGATTGACATGTCATCATTGGGTTGTATATGTGTGGAGCTCCTTTTCAATTTACCATTCTTTCCCGGAACATCTACATGTTTGAGCTCTTCCTCGGCCATGAGTCTTGGCTCGCCGTTTCTCAGAGCTGTGGTTTCTGCCAAATCAGCAGTGCGGGGGTATGAGGGTTGGGCCTCCAGGAAAGTGATTGGTGCGTGTTGAGAGGGGCCAATGATGAGGAGAAGCCGGATTCTGTTGTTTTACAACTTGGAACAAGGGGACAATTGTTTGGATGGGGGGGGAATGATAACCACACTCACTCCAACACTCCCTTTTGAAGGGAGTGTGGGACTGCACTCCAATCAAAATTGGAGTGCGGGTCCACACGCCAACAATCTGCAGGGGCATTCCCCCAGCAGGTTGGCGTGTGGACCCGCCCACCAATTTCAATTGGTGTGGTCCCACACTCCCCTGCTGAGGGGAGTTTGGGAGTGCGCATATGTATAGTTTATACATATGCATTCCCTGGGCTATCCCATAGGACCCAGGTCTGGGCCTAAGGGATAAGGCTGGAACCCGGGGGTTCGGTCGGGTGATCAGGCCCATCCCAAGACCCGTATCCAAAATCCCCCGGGTGATCACCCGTAACCCGGGTGGATCCAAGCTTTTTTGACTTCAGAGCAAGAGGGACTTGGAGGGGGTAGTCGTACAACTCCTAGAGCCTCTCCTTTCTACTCTACATTGTGTACAGTCTATGATCCCACCAGCAACTCAGAGAGCCAACAGAATCTCAAGGAAGACCTTGAGGCTTGAGCCCGAAAAAACAGACATCCTCCAATACTGGGCAAATTGACAGAAGATGTTTATACCTTGTTGGCAATGGCCCGTCAATATCTTGCTAACTGTTCCTGCCACAAGCGCCGCCTCGGAACGAGTTTTCTCAAAAGGACGACGAATTGTCTCTTGGCAACGCTCATCACTTGAGCCAGAAACAATCGAAGGGCTTCTCTGTCTCAAGGAGTGGTATCAACTCCTTGATAGTCCGCTGTAAAGCGACCACTCTAGTCGGCTCACTTTTCATTATACATAATGTCAGCCTGCTACTAATCAGAGCCAGCCTGAACATAGCATTTTACATATAAATTAGAGATATTATTACATACATTTAAAATAATAAAATATACTATTTAAATAAGTGGAAGCACTATAATAGAGACATTATTACATAGTACACTTACATTTTAAATATTCCATGAGAAAAACATTTAAATCATTAAATAAACTATGGAAAATAACACTTTTAACCAGAATCTTTTAATAACTTCTGAAACTTAAGCATAACTCAGAATATTATTGCAGATTCTGAATCTACATGCAAAATAACCTAGGGTAGCTCACCAAGTGTACCCTTGAATTATTACTCCTTCACTTACTTTGTAGTCCTTGAGTGATATTAGATCAAAATACACTGTAGACCCCTCCAGTTACATCATACTACATGTTGTAAGGGGGCTACATGTGTAATTAAGGTTCATGCAGTTCGGGAAAAATCTACAAGCAAGGTTTACATCATTGAAACCTTAATTACATGAGCACAGACTACAGTATCAAACTGTTTGGGATGATCTGTGGCCCTTTTTGGCCCAATTGGGACAGTTACTCTCTTGAGGATCAACCCATGCATCATGCAGTGCTGACATAGGCTACAGGAGTGTTACAGTTTCGTCAGAACACCCTGTAAACATGGTTACAAGCCTTACATCATCTCCTTGACACCTGTAACCAAGCTCTACAGGTGCTACAGATGATCAAAAGCTCCCATAGGCTTAGTAGGAGAGTTGTAGCAACTAGAGAGACTCCTGAGTTCGCCTCCAGAGGCCCAGAAAGGGTATTTAAGAGCCCCTTCTTCCCCCTGAACTTTGATTCCCCATCTTCATCATTACTTACCAGCATAAACCGTCACCAACACCCAGTATCAACCTGCCTTTTGGCCCTGTTCCTGCTGTTTGTAACCTGAACTTCAACCTTCCAACCCAACACCTGTTCCCCAGCTCCCTCAACATCTCTCACCCACCTTTCTGAGCGCCTCAAGAACAGTTCCCCCCTCCTGAAGACCTCCTTGGCTTAGAGATAAGTACTAGTAAGTATTATTTCTTTGATTCTTCAGTTGTAGGCTATTCTGGGCATACTCCTTTATTACAAAGGACCAGAGCATCAGTACCACCCCTGTAACCCAGGACCTGATATTAGAGGGCACCATAAAAACCCCTGTAACTCAGGCCCCTCTGTAAATAAAAACTATTAAGTTTTTATTTACTTTTCTCTTTTATTTACAACACACCTCCACCACTTTTCACGTGTTACCCACACGTGTACACCTCTTATTATACCTTTGCACCTAGTGTAGCTAGAAGAGTTTTGGCTCTTGGCATCACTGAGGCTGACACATAATGTCACTAGTTTATTCTCACAATCGTACCTTCCTTTATTCAAATTTTGTTTACTTGACTAGTTCTCATTCACCAATAGAGCCTTGATACACAAGCGAGGCTCCCTAAAATGTGAAAAATAAGTGACTACATTGTCACTTTGCCCTCCAGAGTGTTACTGAGTATTACTCCCCGGGTGCTCGGGTGGTGACCAGGCCCCATCCCGACAACCCGACCACGGGTTGAGCACCCGGGTGGCACCATTCGGGTTCCAGCCTTACTAAGGGATAGCCCTGAGCTTCCCTTGAAAAAAACAATTAAAAAAAGTCTTAGGGCTGGGAAGAACCCCTCCCAGCCGGCAAACCGTTATACAATTTTTGAGGCCGGGAGGGTTTCCTCCCGGCCTTGAGACCTTACATGGCTGAAGGCCGAGAGGGATTCTCTCGGCCTAGACCTTGTACAGTCTCAAGGCCAAGAGGAACCCCTCTCGGCCTGAGACTGTACAGTCTCTGAGTCAACAAGGTCATCCTCGTCAACCGGAAGGGAAAACCCTGCCAATGGACAAGGTACATGTACCTTGTCCAGCGGAAGGAAAGCCTTCCAAGCTGGACGAGGTACATGTACCTCGTCCATCGGAAGGAAAGCCTTCCAATCTGGACGAGGTACATGTACCTTGTCCAGCAGAAGGAAATCCTTCCAAGCTGGATGAGGTACATGCATCTCATCCAGCGGAAGGAATTGGCCCAATCAGGCGGCAGTCAGAGTCTCAATTTGATTGGTTTCTTCTTAATTCACCAAATGAGAACAACTCTTTTGACCTTGGTGACCAACCATCAGTGAGATCGGAGAATGCATGGAGCAGGGAGGCGCCTTGGGCCAGTATCTTGTTGGATGCTTCCCGGAGTGTTTGCTCATGCCGTATCGTGCCTCATCCACTCCATTCTCCGGTCTACTTCAGCAAAGCTTGTCCTGCTGTCAACCGGAAGGAAAACCTTTCCACTCAATGTGGTCAACTTGGTTGTGCCACGTCGGCCTTGAGAATCTACAGTCTCAAGGCCGAGAGGGGTTCTCGTCCTTGAGACTGTACAAGGTCTCATCAGCCGTTTTTTTTATGTAAAGCTTTTATGTACAACATGTGCTATCCCATAGGACCCATGCTTGGGTCCTATGGGATAAGGCGCAACCTAAACCCATATTCATATGGATTTAGTTTGCTGGTTGGCATGCAGCCCCGCTGTGGTGACCCATACCTTTCCAAAGCCCCTATTATTTCACTGTATATTCACTTGGTTTTCCTTCATTATTATGACATATTCAGATTCTACACCCAATTTTATATACAGTCACTCACTCAAGCCATATTTCATTTCTTACTGGATCAATAGTTACTTTCATTCTTAGTTTTACAGATATTTTTCTCTACATTTACATTAAACAGTAGCTACATAGGATACATATTCACAGTTTGCTTCATACATCATATCTTTCTCAAGTACTCTCATTTACAATTATTTGTTCTCATTGCATCAGCCACATTCTTTACAGTAGTTGTTTTCTCATTACATATATCAGATATTTTCTCAGATACTTTCTTTACACTCATTATTTCACATGTACCCTTCAGGATAACAGTAGTACACTCTTTCACAGCCCTTCTCCTTTTTGGGTTTGTTCCCCTTTACTCATCCTTGTTTTCTGTTTACATTTCTCATCTCTTATTTCTACATATGTACATTTCTTTCTCATAACCAGAATTGCCACAGTCTGTGCTCATTTGTATCTTAGAGTATATAAGTAGTCCTTCTTGCACTTTTACCCCCCCATACACATACAGAGAATATAGATAACAATACATACATATACATAGAGATAATACATAACAATACACATACAGAGAATATAGATAACAATACATACATATACATAGAGATAATACATAACAATACACACATATACATAGAGAATATAGACAACAGACATACAACAATCAATGCATACTTTGCCAGAAATAATTTAGCCATAATTTCTTTCCCCCCTCTTTTGCATATTTTGCCCCTTAGTGACTCCTTGCATACTTTGCACTCATTCCTCAGAAACCTTGCATATTTTGCACATTATCCTTTGACCACCTCTGCATATTTTGCTCATACCCTCTGAACCTTAATCCTCACTCCACAATCCTCCTTCCTCATCACTCCTCATTCACTCAGTGGTATTATTACTAGACCTTGATAACATCTCCCTGTCCTAGAACTCACTAAGAATTACTAGAATACAAGCCACACCTTTCTTCTTTTTCTTAGTGTAACTCTTCCCAACTCCAGCATTGCACAGGAGGGCAGCCTCAACAGCACCCATAGCCTCAACTTACATTATTCGTAGTGTAGTTGTCTATTTCCCCTCCAAGCTCTGTTTCTGATTGTTCAGCAGTTCCACAAGTGGTGTCCCAACAGTGGCTGAATTCCTCCTTATTCTTCAGTCTTATAAACCTCTAGCACAGTTTCTTATCACTCACTCTAGTATCTGTAAACCCACAATAATTATCTTCTCCATCTTTCCTTCCCCAGTCTTTTCATCTTAATTCCCCATAAACCCACAACAAATATCTTTCATCTTTATTTATCTTAGTCTTTCTTTTAGAAATTTCCCAATTCTCTCAATCATGGCTGGCCACTCCCTCATTCCTTCCACCAACCCTCCCAGCAAACCTCCTGCAAGATCCACCAAGAATTTCAAATGCTTGTACTGTTTTCAGAAAGGCCACACCATTTCCAGGTGTCATGTAGTCAGTTATGATGAGCAAAAGGGACTAATCAGAAGAATTGGCGCTGAATTTTGGCTCTCAGACAATTCACCTATACTCTTGGATCCATGGAGGCCTATCAAAGACATAGTGGACAACTTTTCAGCTACTCAGAACCATCAACGTGTGATCTCTCCTCCTCCATCTACACAATTCAGGTACTCCCTTGCCTCAACTGCAGCTACTGAAGAATCAACAATGGAAGAAGACCCCAGCAAAGTCACTCTTTCATCAGCTCAAACAACAGAAGAAATCAACTGCCAGGTATTCAATGCTCTTCCTTCTCCTGGATCCATTGGAGTCAAGTTGAATGGATACGACTGTGAAGGATTGTTGTGCCCTGGACTGCTTTTTAATTTCATCTCAGAAGAGGAGGCTCAAAAACGTGACTTCAACGTTCATCCGCAAGACATTTGGATGCCAGGGTTTTGTGACAACGACATCAATATCACCGGGATAGCGCTAGCCTCTCTATCGATGGAGGGAGTTTGTGAAACAACCTCATTCCTGATCACACAGCAACCTGGACCTCTCGTACTTGGAAAGCCGTTCATAAAGGATTTTTCGGCCGAAATCAGTTACAACAACCCATCAGCTCCAACACTGTCACTACTAGATTCTGGAGGCACAACTCACCTCTTTGCAATTTCTCAAGGTGTTCTTATTCAAATCGGTCTCTCAAGTCACTGCTGACATCAATCAACACCTGCAGCATTTTCTTCAAACAAACAAAAAAAAAAAACCTTCCTTCTACATATCGGCTATCATCAAACCACCACCTTGAACTTTTGCGCTCAATTTTTCCAGCTACGACAAAAACGACAATCACACTCCTTTTCTCGTGTTCTTCTCTCTAGAGGCTAGCCTTTTAATCGACCGTTTTTATCTTCAATCTGCTCTTTCCAAAGGACTCCTATACAAAAATAACTCTCATTGCGTTCGGTACCGGTGTTTGACCCGGACTGTACTTTTTTTCCTCTGCTTTTGAATCTGGTTTTAATCCGATTTCTTTGTCAAAGAACGGCTCGACTGCCGAGGTTTTTTTCTCTTTGTCTCTTGATTAATCGTTTGGACAGGGTTTTGCCTTTTTTACTCTAGGGTTTGACTTGGGCTGTTATCCTCCTCGGTTGTTTTCTTTTTGCTATCAAAATACTTATACTTGCAACGCTGCTTGGAGACCTCGGCCAGCTTTGGATTCAGCCTGCAGACAAGAAAGACCATCTAGTGACCTTGCGAACGCCTTGCCAGAATCCAAATCGGATGTTCAGCGAATCAATGCTGTACACTCTTTATTCTCGCTTTCGACTCTGGTGTTCGATCCAGACTTCACGAATGTTTTCTCGTCAAACAAACGGCGTGATCACCAAGGCCTTTCTTTTCCTTTTGACTTATGGCCAGATCGATTCGTTTGGGCAGCCTCCTCCCTTTTTTTTGCTCAGGATGCCGGTTTTTGAGCCGGACTGTTGAGCGGTTTGGAATAGTTTTTTATTTTTTATTTTTTTTACCCCTTCCGAATCTGGTCGCAAGGCCTGGTCACAACTTTCACCGGATTGGACTCAGACCAACTCGACAGCTGCTGCGTGGACCCGGGTGTGCCTCCGTTCATGATAAGAACCTCGCTTTTGGACGGCGAAGGGGAGCTACCGCCCTCTCTTTCCAAATGCGGCGCTTGGCCGTACTATCTACGATCACACAGCAAGGACTTTGACAATGATTGTCTGCCTGGATCAAAGTGTTGACCAATTTCCTTCCTTTTCCCAAGAAGAGCAGCATCCTCCCCTCAAAAAAAAAAAAAAAAAAAAAAAAAAAGGTGTAAATTAGCTTAATGAATATTGTGAATTGCAGTGCACCTGTCCCCTTTTGGCTACAGTGGAAACTAGGACCCTGCTCAGGACTCAGACCACCTTGACTCCAACAAAGGCCTCAGCATATGTTTTTTTTTTTCCAGTAAAATGCACCATCATTTTCCCCTCCTGGATTCAGTTTATATTCAGATTTTTTTCAGCACACCTCACCACCTCAGACCATTCCCCCCAGCATCATGGATTCTTTTTTTGAATTTTTTTTGCCATCATCACTCACCCCTTTTATGAAGCCTCCACTTTTAATTCACAGGGGGGGGGCCTTTCCTTTTTCTGTACCCCCCCCCTAAAAGAAAAATATTTTTGAGAACCCGGGTAGTTTTTTTTT